ATTCAAACTTCCTCAAGCTTATAAAGAAGGAAAAGAAAAAGGAATGGCAAGACAGGCCAGAAAGAGGCAGAAGAGGCCCTTGACATCCTGATTTCCGATGTGACACCCTTCTTGGTGGCCCAGAGCCCTGAAGTGCCCTCAGCAGCTGCCCTGCCGAGTACGGGGGCTTTGCCACCACGGCAGCGGGGAGGAAGAGGAGCTGCCTGCTGAGGCCCTGGGCAGACCCCGCCTGTTTATATCCTCTGCACCCGCCTATGCCTCTCCAGGAGTCAGGTGGAAGCAAATAAAGCTCCCTGCCAGCTCTTGCCCGTCAGCCAAGAGCAGGTTGTCCTGTTAGGAGAAACGTTTCTTCCAGAATGATGTATGGAGCTCGTGCAGGCAGTGATATTCCAAAACAGAACCTGAGGTGAGGCCCAGAGCCGCCTTCCTATTTAGGATGTGGCCCAGATCCTGGGAGCTGTTTCCTTGTGGTATGTGTGGGGCTGTAATTGGCCTCCCGGTGACCTGAGAGCTGCCTGCCCTGACCCAGTGAAGACTTGGCCTTGGAAATGATTGCGGATCTCACAATCATTTGTGAAGTGATCCCGCGTTGAGCTGGAAAGTCTGGAAAGTCGCTGTTGGGTTGTTGCTGCACTAAGGCATGTGAAGTAGAGGGCTGGGGGTGGGGCCCGCTAGCCGGACAGGCAGGGTGGACTTCGGCTTTGCAATCCAGCACCTTGCAAAGCGCGTCATTACATCTGCACTCCTGCTGTCTCCTGCGCTCTGCCGTTAGTTGAGGAGGGAGGAGGTCACAGGGCCGTCTTCGCTGCCCAGGCCCCCACTGTTACTGCTTTCACTGTCTTGGTTTCTCATCACCGTCTGATTCATCTGACAGACAGACAGCCCCTTCCTCAGGACAGAGAATCGGGATGCTGATTATTTTGATTCGTTTGTGCGTGTGGTTTTTTTTTTTTTTTTTTTTTTTTTAATTTCTCATGGCACTTTGAGATGAAGGGCTGGGAATGTGGAGCATATTTTGGCAGTTGGTGAGTTTGGGGTCCTTGCCCAGTGTCCTCTGAGTGCCACCTTCCCTCTGGCCTGCCAGTGTGCCTCCGTGTCCCTGTCTCGCCACAGGGTGAGCCGGAGCTCCGTGTGGACCTGCTCAGTGGCCTGGTGGGTCTGGCACAGAAGAGGCAGCTGGCCTCCCACCTCCCCTTTTCCACCGTCCCCTGCGCAGCGTTTCCGCAGGCTTTCTCCGGGGACTGGCGTGTGAAGGACCTGCACGGTTCCCAGAGCTTCTGGTTTCTTTTTTGTGGGTTGTAGCCAAGCCCCAGATTAAATCAGCGTTTCCCCTTCCAGAGCCCCGGCCCTGGGCTTGGACTGCCACGTGCCGTTGCCTGACAAGCCATCGGTCTGCGGGGTTTGCAGAATCTCCAGGGCAGTAACAGTGGGAAGACTGAGTGCCTGTCTTTCCAGATGCCAGATTCTCTGCTCCAAGAAGCCTGCGTGAAGTGCTGTGTCCCTCACCTGGAAAATTACAGCGGGGAGGAGACAGTGCTGAAGATGCCCAAAGGGGAAGGCTAGGGCTGTTGTCAGTCTAGGGACAGCATGGTGATCTCCTGAGTGATGCCTTTCCTCCTCAGGTTCAGATCTTGGCTCCAGGGCTCACTGGCTGTGTGAACTTCAGTTACTTCATTTGCAAATGACAGTGCCTCACAGAATGTATTTATCTTGCAGCTGGCTAACTCCATATGCCTCCGGAACACCTTCCTTGACTCTACCAGGCGTGCTCACTCACCTTCTCTGTGTTCTCCCTTGGGACCACGTGCATACTCGCTCATGGTACTTGACACGTTGGACTGAAATGATTTCTACAGGACCCTCTGCTAGCCTGCAGCTCTTTTAGAGTAGAGAGTGTTTTAATCTGCTTTGTTTTCCATGGTCCTAGTAGCATGCTTGCCAGACAGTATGAGTTACCCACGCCAAACAGACATCTCTTGGATGTTTTCCTTCCTGAGTGTTTGTTCACTCTACTGTAAAATCGCTTCCATCTGAATTGTTGCTTGTTTCCCGAAAGTGATGGTTCTTACCCTGTTTTTCTTCTCCCATCTGAAAGAAATATCCCTTTTTATTCCGTGTTTATGGAATTCCCAGAAAGCTGATTCTTGGGTAGTTGCTTGATCTCCCTTTCTCATCTGCTTTCCATTGAGTGGCAGTTGTCAAAAATAAATGATGGAAAGAATCGAATGGCGCCGCAGTCAGGGTATCCTCAGGCCTCTCCCCTTCATGATGGGGAGGCTGTGGATTTTGATGAGAAGGAAGGATGGGAAGACTGGTATTTGGGGATGAGGAGCTGGTGCAGTTAGGGCCTTTGCTCTCCCGGGGCCTGGGAGGGCAGGTCTGGAGAAACTTGAGGCCGGATGTGTCAGAGTTGCTCTCTGCCTGTTTTCTGCATTACCTGTAGTGCACATTCCCTCACCTTCCAGATGCCCTAGCCCAGCATCATAGCATATTCTTCTGTGCCCTGAGCTCAGTGTTGGAGAATGGAGCAGTGATGTTTAGAAAAGACCCCCACCAAGGAGCCAAAGGCTCAAACAGGTGGGCACAGGTACAGGGCACCAGTGAACCCAGGTATTCGTGTTTTGCCCCTTCATCACACCGTTACCTGAATCTGTATATAAATACGCCACTGGATCTTGCTTTTCTAGTAAAGATTCTCTAGTAAATTTGAAAGATGCTATTTGCTGGAGGATGCCAGTAATTCCAACAGATGTGCCAAGACCTTATCCGGTGACTGCCGGGGTTCATTAAAAGCTCTTTCTGAGGCCGCCACAAAGACGTTCAAACACTGCACACGACAGAAGTGCAGGCCTTCAGAAAACACTTCACGCACAGCCTGTCACAAAAATTGCTAAATCACCCACTGCTTTCCTTTAGCCGGTTTTTGCCTGATGGACCACCTGTCTCTCAACACTGGCTTGTATGATGTGGCATGCCAAAACCCAGCGTTGTCTCCTAGAGCTTAGAATGTTGTAGGAATCGGTAACCTGCCCAGCCAGGATGCCAGGCCAGTCATGACCTGCTCCCTCCGGCACCTCTGCCCCTTCTCTGCCTCCTTAAAGGTCTGGTAACACGGCCGGGCGTGGTGGCTTACGCCTGTAATCCCAGCACTTTGGGAAGCCAAGGTGGGCGGATCACAAGGTCAGGAGATGGAGACCATCCTGGCTAACACGGTGAAACCCCGTCTCTACTAAAAATACAAAAAATTAGCTGGGAGTGGTGGCGGGCGCCTGTAATCCAGTACTTTAGGAGGCTGAGGTGGGTGGCTCACGAGGTCAGGAGATAGAGACCATCCTGGCTAACACAGTGAAACCCCGTCTCTAGTAAAAAACAAAAAATTAGGCGGGGCACGGTGGCTCATGCCTGTAATCCCAGCACTTTGGGAAGCCAAGGCGGGCGGATCACGAGGTCAGGAGATCGAGACCATCCTGGCTAACACGATGAAACCCCGTCTCTACTAAAAATACAAAAAATTAGCTGGGCGAGGTGGCTCACACCTGTAATCCAGTACTTTGGGAAGCCGAGGTGGGTGGATCACGAGGTCGGGAGATAGAGACCATCCTGGCTAGCACAGTGAAACCCCGTCTCTACTAAAAAAACAAAAAATTAGGCTGGGCACAGTGGCTCATGCCTGTAATGCCAGCACGTTGGGAGGCCGAGGCAGGCAGATCACAAGGTCAGGAGATCGAGACCATCTTGGCACCACCTCGGCTCACTGCAAGCTCCACCTCCCAGGTTCACGCCATTCTCCTGCCTCAACCTCCCGAGTACAGGACTGTAGTACGGGACTACAGGCGCCCGCCACCTTGCCTGGCTAATTTTTTGTATTTTTAGTAGAGACGGGGTCTCACCATTTTAGTCAGGATGGCCTTGATCTCCTGACCTCGTGATCCGCCCGCTTCGGCCTCCGAAAGTGCTGGGACTGCAGGCGCCCGCCACCAGGCCTAGCTCATTTTTTGTATTTTTAGTAAAGACAGGGCTTCACCCTGTTAGCTAGGATGGTTTCAGTCTCCTGACCTTGTGATCCGTCCATCTTAGCCTCCCAAAGTACTGGGATTACAGGCGTGAGCCACTGTGCCCGGCCAGAGTGATGGGATTTTAAAATCACCTGGTGTGACCCCCGCGCACACAAAGGACTCAGGCCGAGGTCGCCAATGATGCTGAAACCACAGGGTGAAAGGACACAGCCAGGGCACCCCGTGGCTTCTGGGCATCACCCACGGAGGACTGATGGGGAAGTGTGCCTGTGCGTTGGAGAGAGGCCTGGGCACCACCTCCGTGAGCGGTCAGGCCTGGTGTCCTTCCTCTGAGCAGCGGTGTTGCAGTAGGGGCAGCATCACCCACGTGGCCTTATGAAACAGAAAGTGCTTTATCTAACCGTGAGGAGACAGATCTGCAGTGTGAGACGTTCTGCAGGCAGCTGGCCAGGCCGCCTCAGTGGCGGGGCACGTACCTGGTGGGGACTTGGATCCCGGGGCAGGCCACAGTGGGGGATGCACCTGATAGGGGCCTGGATCCCTGGGGCAGGCCGTGGCGGGGGTGTGAACCTGGTGGGGGCCTGGATCCCTGGGGCAGGCTGCACCGGGGATGCCCTTCTCAGGCAAGGCTGCTTCAGGGGCACCTGGCTCCTGGCTGCCTGCGGTCTGTCCCACACCCCTCACCACCAGTCACCCTTGCAGGGAGACTGTGTCTCCCCTCTGGGGGCCGGGATTCAGGGTGATGAAGGAGAGAGAACGCCCTGACCTAGAGGGCAGACAGGGCCGCTTTCCTTCCTCCTATATAGCGAAATTCCCACTCTCACGCCAGGGTCCTTTTCTGGCCTGTGGCAACTCCGTGAATGCTCTGGCCTTCGGCCTGCCCCACGTCCTGGCAGGAGGGCCCGCAGCCTGGGTGTCAGCCCCCACCCCCACGCCCCGTCTGTGGTTGGAGCTCAGTGCGGTGCTTCTGTGCTTATCCTGCAGGTTCAGGCGTGAACGGCCTGGAGGAGCCCAGCATTGCCAAGCGGCTGAGGGGCACCCCAGAGCGGATTGAGCTGGAGAACTACCGCCTTTCCCTGAGGCAGGCCGAGGCGCTGCAGGAGGTGCCCGAGGAGACTCAGGCCGAGCACAACTTGAGCAGCGTGCTGGACACAGGCGCCGAGGAGGACGTCGCCAGCAGGTCAGCGCGCAGGGCTGCAGGGTGCCCACCCGCCACCCGGCCCTAACAGCCTCCTCACCTCTGCGTGCCTCAGTTTCCTCTCCGTGAAGGGAGGTAACGTAGTTGCCTCCTCACGGAATTGGCGTGCAGGGAGAGTGAGTCCATGCCCTGACTGTTGAGAGCAGCACTTGGCTCACGGAGGCCTTGCAGGTGGCTCTGCACAGTGGCCTCACTGGGTCCTCCTCACAGGAGCCCCATAAAGTAACCAAGACGCTGACAGTGACCACGGCTGGGGTCACAGAGGCTGGAGCCGAGATTCCAACTCAGGCTTCCCAGGTGCCAGCCCAGGAGGCCTGCTATCTTCCCTGCTGCCCACAGTCCATTCTCCCCAGTCCCTTTTAGGTTCTTGGCCTCATCTTGCAGTCAGTGAGGACGCCTCCATCAGACTCAATTCAGAGATTCAGGAAGTATTTATTCCTTGAGGACCTGACATGTCCCCAGCTCCAAGTTTGTCATTGGGAAGGGAAGTAGCAGGCTCCGCCCCCCAGTTATTTACAGATTCAGCAGAGGGAAGGATGGGCACACGGGGAGAGACCGACCGGGTGATTCAGCCGCCAGCGCACCGCCAGCGCACTGCACGGGGCCGTCTTGAGGGAGGCCAGCCCATCTCCCCAGGCATCTTTTTTTCTCCTGTAGGTAAAGAAAGGGACTGAAAATTTGTGCCCCAGGGGCCACGTGCAGCACCAGTGGATGCATGCTTAGGCAGTTCCTGAGCTATAATCACTTCCAGCTGGGTGATGCCTTTGGGGATGTGCGCGCTTTAATTCCAGGACTCCCTGTACCTGCTGCCCTGCACCCCAGGGCTCCCAGTGTCAGCGGAGAAGGCTTCAAAGTGCTCAGCCAATTACAGATGATCACAAGAGCCAAGAACCAAAAGGGGGGCCAGTGTCCTGCAGGGCTTCAGGACAGGAACTCAGGCTGCAGCCCCGAGGGGCGGAGGCCCCAAGTCGCCTTGGAGAGCGTTTGAATCACACACTAGGCACCTTGATTTAGCCACGATGAAGGGAACATGTGGGGATAAGGAGAGCAGAGCAGGTTTTTTTTTTTTTAAGGTCCAAGAACGCTTTCCAGAAGGTGTTTGCTGGGCCAAGCTGCTTTCAGCTGCACCCACCACCGCAGCCCTCGTGTCAGACACCCTCAGGCTAGACTCGTTCTTGGGCTGCCTCCCAGACAGCTCCTCCAGGCATGCCAGGGGCAGCCTCTGCCTTGGCGTCTGCAGTTCCAAAGCTGTCACCGATGACGCATCCTCATCTAGAACTCTGCTTCTCTATCCAGGGCACCCACCGAGGCCCTACCGTCCTCACTGTGCCCAGATGAAGGGGAGCCCATATTCTCTCTTCACTGGCCCTGCAGTGATGGTGAGAGATGCGTGTGTCAAAACGCATTTAGAAACCCTTGAGCAGAACTACTGGCTTGACCTTGGGCTGAGTGTGCTTCAGCGCCTTTTTCTCCACTGTAATTTATAAACTGTGAGAGGCAGGGGGCAGCAAGTTCATGTAATGTAGCAAGGACATTCCAGGAAGGCTAACCCCTGGCATTTAGAGCAGGCACCTGTAATCCCAGCACTTTGGGAGGCCAAGGTGGGCCCATCACTTCAGGTCAGGAGTTCAAGACCAGCCTGGCCAACATATTGAAACCCTGTCTCTAATAAAAATACAAAAATTAGCTGGGCATGATGGTGCACACCTGTAATCCCAGCTACTTGGGAGGCTAAGGCACCAGAATTGCTTGAACCTGGGAGGCGGAGGTTGCAGTGAGCCGAGATCTCGCCTTTGCACCACTGCACTCCAGCCTGTGTGACAGAGCGAATCTCCATCTCAAAAAAAAAAAATTAAGATTAAAATTAAAAATTAAAGGCCAGGCACAGTGGCTCACACAAGAGAATCACTTGAACCCAGGAGGCGGAGGTTGCAGTGATCTGGGATTGCACCATTGCACTCCAGCCTGGGAGACGGTGAGACTCCACCTCAAAAAAAAAAAAAAAAAAAAAAAATTTAAATTAGCATTCGGTGCTATACAGAATGAAAAATAGTCTCTTAAAAGTGAAGAGCTGGGGGGTGGCTCACACCTGTAATCCCAGCACTTTGGGAGGCTGAGGCAGGTGGATCACTTGAGGCCAAAAGTTCAAGGCCAGCCTGGCCAACATGGTGAAACCCTGTCTTTTCTAAAAATACAAAAAATTAGCCTGGTGTGGTGGCCATCACCTGTAATCCCAGCTACTTGGGAGGCTGAGGCAGGAGAATCACTTGAACTCGGGAGGCAGAGGTTGCAGTCAGCCAAGATTGTGCCACTGCACTCCAGCCTGGGCAACAGAGCGAGACTCCATCTCAAAAAAAAAAAAAAAGTGAAGAGCCCGAGCTGGTGCGGTGGCTCATGCCTGTAATCCCAGTACTCTGGGGAGGCTGAAGCAGGCAGATCACCTGAGCCCAAGAGTTTGAGACCAGGCTGGGTAACAGGATGAAACCCCATCTCTTCAAAAAATACAAAAATTATCCGGACCTGCCTACCTGCCTGTAGTTCCAGCTGCTCAGGAGGCTGAGGCAGGAGAATCACTTGAACCTGGTAGGCGGAGGTTACAGTGAGCCAGGATCATGCCATTGCACTCCAGTCTGCGAGATAGAGCAAGACCCTGTCTCAAAAAAAAAAAAAAAAGCACCCCAGGGAAGGAGCTATACATGTTGTCTTACTTCCCTGGGTGGCCGTAGGACACAGGACGGGAAGTGTGTGGTGGTTTTCTCTGTCTTCCCTACAGCACCAAGCACAGAGTTGGGTGCCCTTCCAGCCCTCGTCCTTCCTTGCTGAAATGTTAGACTGGAAGATGAGAAATGGTATCATTTTAAGGCATTAACCATTCCAGCCAAGGAACTCTCATTTCACAAGTTTAGTGGAACTCTTAACGTTGGCCTCTGCTGCAGGGGACAGCAGCGTGATGTTTCAGAACATGACTTTGGAGTCAAAGCCTGGATTTGAAGTCCAGCTCTGCCACCTGCTAGCTGTTGGCAATTTACTCAACCTCTCCATGCCTCAGTTTCCTGATCTGCAAAGGTGCTGCACTTGATAGGTTTGTTTTGAGGATTAAGTCATATGAAGCAAGGACAAAGGCCGATGCCCGGAGTTACTGCTGCTGTTCCTCTCCTGGTGCAGCACAGGTCTCCCTCACTGGGAGGGGCAGGGCCAGGCAGTCGTCTTGTATTGGTTTCCTTAAACAGGGGGTTAATGCCCGGACGTGGGCTAGGCTCAAACTCACCCTGTCCGAGAATGTTGGTAACCAAGCTTTCCCATGCCGGAGTCACCCAGGGCTTGTGATGAAAGCACAACACATTGGGCTGAGTTTCTGGTTCAGTGCCTCTGGGGTAAAGCCCCAGAATTTTTAGTTCTGAAAAGTTCCCAGGTGCTGCTGTGGTCCGAAGACCACAATTTGAGGAACACCCCTTTAATTTTTCTAAATTTCTCTGATGATAAACATCACCTGGGATGCTTGGTTAAAAATAAAATTGCAGCCAGGCATGGTGGCTCACACCCGTAATCCCAGCACTTTGGGAGGCCGAGGCAGGAGGATTACTTGTGTCCAGGAGTTCAAGACCAGACTCTCTGTTGCCCAGTCTGGTCTTGAACTCCTGGACATTAGCCAGCGTACCATTAGCCAGCGTGGTGGTACGCTCCTGTGGTCCCAGCTCCTCAGGAGGCTGAAGCAAGAGGATTGCTTGAGACCAGGAGTTCACTGCCTGGGTGACAGAGTGAGACCCTGGCTCAAAAACAAAACAAAACAAAAACAAATGTAATTTCTAGGCCCTCCCTGGAGTATCTAATTCAGTGGGTTTGGGGTGGAGGCCAGGACTGTCAGTATCTAACAGATCCCCCAGGTGAGTCACATAATCGATTCATGGTTTAGTCACACAAGCGCCTATAAATCCTAAACCTTGTCACAGACCCTTGGCCCAGGCCTAATCCGCTTCATGCCTCTACCTTGCAGTCAAGGTGGGGCCTGTCTCCTGGAGGAGACCCTGGAAATAGCACCTTTGTTTTCACTGGAAAGGTCAGTTGGCCAAAGCCCGGGGAGAGCTGGCTTTGTGATGTTAGTGGTGTTTTTCCATGATTGCCTTCCTTTCTGGAAGAATGTGCCCCAGGCAGCAAAGGCAGCTGGTGCAGTGCCCGTGTGCTGAAGATGTTCAGCGTTTCCACATTCTTGGCTCTGGGGAGAAGTCAGGAGGGCTAGCACACACAGACGTTTTCTGATGAGACAGGCGAGGTCACAGGAAAGTAGATGGCACGCGTTGCTCTCTGTCAGAATAACACGCAAGTGAGAGAAGGCTGTTCCTTCAAGGTTGGCCGTGAATAAGTGGGGATTTCTGCCTGTTCTCTCCCTCCCGCCTCACCCACTTTTCCTGCAGAGGCAGTTCCTGAGCCATTGCCGAGCAGGATGCTAGTTTTAGCGTGGATTACATTTCCACCGGGTGAAGCTTGCCGCATGATGTCCATCTTCTCCAGCCACCTGCTCAGCATTAGAGTGTTTGCACAGTTGTCAGGGAAGGGAACCCAGGGGCACAGCCCAACAGGACAGAGGATTGCCAAGTCCCTCTGATTATGAGTGGGTTAATTTAAAAGTGAAAACCATGGTTCCCCGTTGCCCTTTGAAAACCACCCAGGAACTTCAAGTGGTTCCTGGCAGCAGCCTGTTCATTTGTGGTAGGGTCTGCTTGAATTCCTGGTCTGCACTTCTCAGGTTACATCCAGGCAGTCGGGAGCTTGATCGAGACCTTCTCCCTGGTCTTGTCACTCTGACAGAGGCTACTGGCTGGGAACGCTTGGGTGCTGGGAGAACCACCCAGGAAGGCACAGTGTGACACCGTGTGGGCCCTGGTGGGAATCCCAACTTCTTATGCAAATGACCCGACTTCCTTAGGCTTCAGTCTCATCATTTATAAAAGCAGAGCAGCCCCGGGACCTACAGCATTTGTGTGATTAAATGAGCTACCCAGGGAAAGCAGCTTGTGCTGCGGGCACACGATCAGGGCCGCCCTCCGTCAATCACTGTCATCCTCGGATCTACCCCTCTTGACACGCAGAGGGCTGCAGAGCACTTCAAGTAGGTCTAACCTTGTCTGTTTAGAATCAAGTGGGTGTGCCCGTTGGATTTCTTTCCCATACTAGGTCCGCCAGTGTCTCAGTGAGAAGACAGCTGGGGGGAAATTCAGAGCAGGTGCTTTGAGTTGAGTAGCTGGGTATAAACTGAGGCAGGGAAGGATTTTGCTGGACACTGTTCTAACTGGAACAGCCAGCACCTTCTGATGGAGGCTTTTCCGGGGGACAGTCGGGGTGCAACCTCTGACACCTCTGAAAGTAGTGTAAGCCTGCCACATTCCTGCTGCAGGAATTCACTGCAGCCCCTGGCACATTCCTGCTGTCCTGGCCACGCTTGGCCCTGTGAGGAGGACAGTGGGGACCCGGCACCTGCCCTTGGAGAGCGTGTGGCCCTGGGGGAGGCAGACTCGAATCAAGCAATCTCACAGGGCAATACGTTGTCACCAGTGCCAAAACAGATCCTGTGAGGTGGGAAAGGTGATCCTGATGACTAGATCTTCTGACCCCGTCTCTCCTGGGAGGCTCTGTTCTGAAAAGTCACCCTCTCCCCAGAGGGAGGGTGAAGTTGGTTGTCTGTGTTGCATTTGTTTCTGGTATAGTGATCTTCTGTGCTGAAGAAGTTTCCAGGCTAAGGTCGGCCGCACTGCAGGTTCCTCCCTCATCTGCCCTCTCCCTCCAGATTCCTCCCTTGTTTGCCCCTTCCCTCCTGGTTCCTTCCTCCTCTGCCCCTCCCTCCAGGTTCCTCCCTCCTCTGCCCCTCTCTCCAGGTTCCTCCCTCCTCTGCCCCTCCCTCCAGATTCCTCCCTGCTCTGCCCCTTCCCTCCAGGTTCCTCCCTCCTCTGCCCCCTCCCTCCAGAGACGCAGGTGCTCGGAGCCTCGAGGCACTGAATTCACACTGCGAATCTTGTGTGTGACTTGCAGGACCTGGGCAGACCCAGAGACTGCCCCAGTCCTTTGAAAATGATGGACTGAGCCGGGCGCGGTGGCTCAAGCCTGTAATCCCAGCACTTTGGGAGGCCGAGACGGGCGGATCATGAGGTCAGGAGATCGAGACCATCCTGACTGATGCGGTGAAACCCCGTCTCTACTAAAAAATACAAAAAAACTAGCCGGGCAAGGTGGTAGGCGCCTGTAGTCCCAGCTACTCAGGAGGCTGAGGCCGGAGAATGGCGTGAACCCGGGAGGCGGAGCTTACAGTGAGCCGAGATCCGGCCACTGCACTCCAGCCTGGGCGACAGAGCGAGACTCCGTCTTAAAAAAAAAAAATGATGGACTGGAAAGGAGTTGGAAACCCCCACCCGGTTCCTCTGTGTCCTTCCCGAGGAGAGGGTGGCCTGTCTGGGGGCGGCATGCAGAAGCAAGCGCCAAGGTCTCTGGGAGGCGAGCTGGGTTTGCCGCTGGTGCGGAGGTGAGCGTTGCTTTCTGCTGTCTTCTGTGCTCCCGTGGTCCTTGAGCTGTTGTGGAACCAGCTGATGCCACACTAACGGCTGTGGGCTGGCCTCGCTGGCCTCATCTTGGGACATTTCTTCAGTGCCCACATTGTGCCTGTGCAGCTGTCCTCACAACGTGGCGCAGGGTGAGGACAGGCCTGCACTGAGGCCCCTCCCAGTGAACTGCAGTGCGGCCCTGCCCTGCTGCCAACCGCTGGGCCGCCTTGCATAGGCCCTGGCTGCTCAGCTGGGAAGGAGGAACAGGGGCCTGCCCTTGGCCCAGCGAAGATTTGAGATGAGCATAGATGCATCCTGAGCCTTGCATTGTGTTCAGACAGTGTTAAATGACATGCAGTAGGTTGTGTATTGTGTTCATTAATAAGAAAATAATGAAAACACCAACGTAAGGCAAAAGAATACCAGTAAAAGTAATGCCGAAAATAATCAAAATCCAGATGCCAGGTTTTCCATGGCCCAGATTCTTAGGTTCACCCACTTTAGACTTCTCCTCCCGGCCCTCTGCCCCCTGTGCTTGTGTTCTGCTATGCTTTAGCATGCTGTGCGTGCACCTTTCCTCCCCTTGAGAATAAGGAGCTTTTGTTATTTTTATATTATTTGTATCTTTATTTTTTGTAGAGATGGGGTGTACCTGTGGTTGCCCAGGATGGTCTCAAACTCCTGGGCTCAAATGATCCACCCGCCTCAGCCTCCCACAGTGCTGGGATCACAGACGGGAGCTGTCGGGCCCAGCTGAGCATAAGAGTCTTTTCTGTGTCACCTTTGTGTTCCCTGCAGTGTCTAGCAAGTGCGTTGTAAGGGGAAGATAACTGAGTAAGTTTTATTCAGGTAAATGAACGGGTGAAGCCAATTCACTACCTGAGCTCCTCGCGGCATATTCCTGTGTCCGCTGGCTGAGCCGGAGGTGCTCAGAAATGTTCGCCAAGTGAATGAATGAGCAAACTCAGAGAGCACAAATAATCAACTCACAGTCCCGCAGCCAGCCAGTAGCAGAGCTGGTGCAGCACAGTGAGGAGTCAGCCAGCTGGAAAGAGGGAATACAGCCCACAAGACTGCCCCACTTCTGACCCCAGTGGCGAGTTCCGGAGTCTCCCAGAATCACCCGCAGGTTTGACAGTTTGCTAGAACTCGCAGAACTCACTGAAAGCTGTTGTCCTCATGGTTATGGTTCATTACAGGGAAAGGGCACAGATGTCAGTGAGCCAAGGGAAGAAGTACGTAGGGTGAGTCCAGGAAGGAACCAGACTCAGTTTCCGTTGTACTCACTGTGGGGCCAGGACGACCGTACTCTCTCGGTATCGATGTGTGATAATACGCCAGGAGTATTGCTCACCTGAGGAATACTGAGACTCTGTGTTTGGAGTTTTTATGACATAGGCAATGATTGATTGATTGATTGTCCACATGGTTGATCTCAGTCTCCAGGTCACTGGATACCGTGCGACCCAAAGCCTCATCCTAATCACATTACTAGACTATGCAACATGACCTGAGGCCCCCGGCAAACAGTGGCAGCCCCATCGACAGGGCATCCCAGGCATGTCTGGTTTACCTTCTTGAAGCCAAGACAAGGGCTGGGGTGCTGTCTTTGGACAAGGCGAGCTTCTTCACCTGGCAGTGGTCGCCCTGGCAGTGCCCCTCAGTGCTCATCGTGGCGTATTCGCTGGTTCGCCCTCTCACACACAAGCGGGCTGTGGAAGAGCCTGCCTGGGCAGAGAGAGGACACACCCTCGCAGGAGGTCAGGGCAGATGCCCCCTCGTGCCTGATGCTTCTTGGGTTTTGTTGGGTCGGAGGTCAGGCTGTGGCTTTAACGTGAAAGCTGATTGCCCCCAGCCTCTCACTGCAGGCAAGGCCTCTCCTGAAAAAGATGCTTTGGGAATTATCAGACCACGAAACACTCAGAAACAACTCCATTTATGCAGCAATGTTGGGGGTTTTGCGCGTATTGGAGCCCCACAGGTTGCAGGGAACCCAGTGTTCCTGTCCTGCCTCCCTCCACAGGGCAGGAGTGGGGTACACTGCTGCAGGAGGGTGGCCAGAGTGAGGAGCTACGGTTGGGGTAGTGTGCGTTGTGGCGTGTGCGTTCTCACGGGGGTGCAGCTTCCTATGTCAACCATGCTTGCCTGCAGCTGCGAGGCGAGTGCTTGGCAGTGCAGCAGCCGACAGGAGCGACGGCCCTGGGGTTAGAGGTTTGTCCCCACCCTTTCCCTGTCGTCTCTGTCCTGTGGCTTTGCAGTGAGCAGTGCCTTTGCCGTCATTTCCCTGTGTGTCCCGACGGCACATGGTGGGTTCTGAGGAGTGCTGGGAAATGGAATCTGTCGCCCCACCCCGGCACACGGTGGGTTCTGAGGAGTGCTGGGAAATGGAATCTGTCGCCCCACCCCGGCACACGGACTTTGATCATCAGCTGGTTCAGTCCAGGCCTTTCTGGGCCCCGCTTCCCCCACCACGCCCACAGCTCTCCTGAGAGGCTTCTGACAGGCCTCAGTCACACAGAATTGAGTTCCTCTAACTAGGCAGCAGGCCAGGACCACCATTCTCGATTCCCAGTGTCATGGGTTTATATGAGAAGGAGTCCACTGCCCTGCTTGTGCCCTCAAGGCCCTGTGAAACTTAAACCAGCGATCTCGGGGTTTGCTGGTTGAAGCACCCTGAGGGATGGGGCTGTGCCTTGAGTTTGCGCCGTTGCAGTCAGGAACTTCCGTGGGCTCCCTAAGGAGCTGCTCTCCCAGTTCTGCACGCTCCCCTCAGCGGGCAGAGGTTGGGCCAGACCTGCAGGCAGCCCTCGGTGGGCCCCTCCCCACCCCATCCACCTGAGGAGAAGCGCGCGAGGTCTGTGAGCAGGAGACATTCTTCCCTTTGTCCCCTTAGTCGGGCTTGGGTAGGTGGCTCCTCATGCCCGGGTACCCTGTCCTGCTGATGTCGCTCTCTCTGCCCTCCCGTCTCTCTCCACCTGCTCAGCAGCCGCTGTGCCTGGATCGCATTGCTTCTGACAGTGGTTCTTCCCTTTCCCCTTCTCGATTTTTCTTCATTCCCTCACTCTGGCCGTGTGGTTATTTCCTCACAGTAGTTCCGAGTCTGAGATGGAGGAGGAGGAGGACGAGGAGGAGGAGGAGCCTCGCCTGCCCCCCTCTGACCTGGGTGGCGTTCCGTGGAAGGAGGCCGTGCGGATCCATGCGCTTCTGAAAGGGAAAAGTGAAGAGGAGCTAGAGGCCTCGAAGAGCTTTGAGCCTGGGAATGAAGAGGAGGAGGAGGAGGAAGAATATGAAGAGGAGGAGGAGGAGGACTATGACGAGGAGGAGGAAGAGTCCAGTGAAGGTCAGAACAAAATCTGTGCTCCTAACCCTGCCGTGTCTCCCAAGGTGATCTGTTTCATGCGTGAGTGTAAGAGGTTTCTGGGGCTGACGTCACACGGACGTGCCTCCTGCACAGCCCAGGGGCCACCCCTCCCGACCTTAATCATGGGGGGCAGAGGGAAGGGCACTGTGGCGTTGAGCAGACGGTTGGCAGTGGAAGTAATGTCCCTTGTGCACGTTGGTTTAGAAATTGGAAGTAGAAGGCAGAGAGCCAGTCCGAGGACTCACCCAAGTTAGGCCACTCGTTCTTGTCTCCTCCTCATTTTCTCTTTTTGCCCGTTAGTTTCAGTTGAAAAAATTATTTTAATAAAGAAAGGGAATTTAGCTTTCTAGAGGATTCCTTGATCCTAGTCTAGGGTTTCGGAGGTGGCTATGAGCTTAGTGCCTCGCTTGATGGCATCCAGGGCAACGTTTGGGGGACAGTGTCCTGAAGGGAGACTCAGGCTCAGGGGACAGCTGCTCTGAGATTTTTCTATTCTGCCCCTATCTCTGGCTGTGTGTGGCCTCAAGTGATGAGGAGGGACGTGTTGGGCCTGTGCAGGAGAGAAGGCCATTCTTTCTCTGCTCCGGCAGCACAGAAGCCTGGGGGATGGTGAAGATGGAGCTAGGGCAGTGGAGATCTGAGTCCCCAAAAGATAGCTGTGGAATGATCAGGAAGGACATGACCTTTAACTTCTGAGCACCAGTGACTCCCTGCAGTGGTCAGAGGAGCGGTTGTGTTCTCAGTGGCCCCAGGCCCCACAGAGCTGGCACTGAGCTCGTCTCTGCTTCTCCCGGGTCCTGTGTGCTTGCTGCCCAGTCTCATCCGGGGATCTGTTTTCTCTGGCACGCAGGCCTAAGCCCGTCCTGGATAGGGCTCATGTTCCTGATCCAGTCCCCCGGGAGCTGTGCAGCTCCGGGATGCTGGCCCCAGTGAGGTGGGTTGGACCAGAAGGAACTGCACCCTTGGGCGTCCGCCTGAGCGGTCAGGGTCAGGGACTTCCTCGGGCTCCCTAAGGAGCTGCTTTTCCAGTTCTCTACTCTTCCCTCCAGAGGCAGAGGCTGGGCAGGACCCACAGGCAGCCCTTAGTGGCCCGCACTCCACACCCAGTCTGCTGTAGGAGAAATGGGGTCTGTGGACCTGGGCTCTCCCTCCATGCCGCCGTGTCTGCAGAGCCAGGTGCCGGTGTGGCCTCTGCTAGCCAGCGGACTGAGCATGCACAGCTGGTCCAGGGCACGGTGTTTTGTTTGCACTATTCCAGATATCGTCATCTCCATGTGATGATGATCACTCGGCAGCTCTGAGCCCCGGCACAGCTTAGGGTCGAAGCGTGTTCCCTTTTCATTTCCTGTAGGAAATGAGCTTTAACTACACAAACACATACTGACAAATTCAGCTGAACTCCGAAAGTCCCGGACAGGAGCCTATGTCGCTAGCCCAGGTGCGAGTCTGTTGGGCAGCCGACCTCGGTGCCTGTGCAGGCAGTGGCTGGACACCGCTGCTCCCTTCTCTTCCCTCCGGCTTATCCCCCTGTGGGATTCCGGATGCTGTGTGGGTTTCTGGCTCCCCCTGCTATAGAACGGGAGTACTGCGCCAGGACACACATCTGCAAGGCCGGTGGCCATGCCAGGTACCTCCCACAGGAAGATTTGAGGGCATTGAAAGGTACCCCCTTTGCCCCGTGCCCACCTTCTACCACAGCTCCCTGGCAGCCATCCAAAATGTGCCTCCAAGAGCATGTCTCACAGACAAAGGCCTGGAACTGAGCTCTGCACACACCTCGCTGGGCTCCTCTCCCTGGTCCCAGCCTGCCCAGACAGCCAGGTGCAAAGTAGCATGTGAGTCAGAAGACGTTCTGGCAGAAGTTGGAGAAGGCTCCAGAAGTGGCCTCATGGAATGCGGCCCCACCTATGCCCCATATGTTTTGCTGCAAGCTCCTCATCTCCAGCCAAGACTTGGCTGCTTCTCTGATGCAGGAAACCTCCTGTCACCAGCACAGGTGACTTTAATGTCTCTCTAAGACAGGAAGAAATGTTGACTTGTGCTGTCGATACGTCCCCAGGGCTGCATGTATTAGCAGGAAGCACAGCAGGACTCTGAGAGAAGAATGCCTCTCTTCTCTTTGTTGCTGAGGAGGTAGAGAGAGTCCTGTGACATCCAGGCTGTTAGGTGACTCTGCTGTGACTCAGTCCCACTCAGCACCATAAAGAAAGGCAAATTGACCTTAGAAAAAGTCCACAAATCTATAAGACCAGCAACTCCAGCAACGGGCTGATACCCCACGGACGGCAGAGCTCATAACACTGGGCGGTCTTGCTGGTCCTTTCTGCTCATTTCACATTCCCTGTTGCTTGAAGAGACTGTCATAGTGATTGAAGCCACAGCCAGATTGTCTGGTTAGACTCAGAGGAGGCATGTCACCCGTTCCCAGATGGAAGCTGGCTCCTGGCAGGAACACAAATCCTTCAGATCAGGTGGCACCTGCTCTTGCTGCCTGAACAGCCACCTTCCCTTCCCAGTTGCTGGCTGTCCCTTTATCTTAACCTAACTGTGTGGCACGGTCCGACACTAAGTACAGGGATCCCACAGGGCAGGGATCCGGAGGGGCCACTGGTGAGTTTCCATATAGCTGAGAAACCAGGCCTTGTTTCCAGAGGTGATAAGCAGGGCACCACATGGAGTTTTCAGGTAAGAGCTTTGACCTCAGAGAGGTGTTGGTCTCATTCTCGCCTGTGAACTTCCAAAGGTTTGGAAATGGACATGAAAGAGCTCTGCTTCCGGCCGGGCGCGGTGGCTCAAGCCTGTAATCCCAGCACTTTGGGAGGCCGAGACGGGCGGATCACGAGGTCAGGAGATCGAGACCATCCTGGCTAACACGGTGAAACCCCATCTCTACTAAAAATACAAAAATTAGCCGGGCGAGGTGGCGGGCGCCTGTAGTCCCAGCTACTCTGGAGGCTGAGGCAGGAGAATGGCGTAAACCCAGGAGGGCGGAGCTTGCAGTGAGCCGAGATCGCGCTACTGCACTCCAGCCTGGGGCACAGAGCAAGACTCCATCTCAAAAAAAAAAAAAAAAGAAAGAAAGAGCTCTGCTTCCCTCCCAGTCATCGCCTCCCCTGACTCTACCCTCCACTGGGATCCATGTCCTTGCCTCAGACCCAGCATGCAGCATGAGGCCCGCTAAGGGAGGGGGACTGTTTCTCTCCAGCAGCAGCTCCAGCTGCAGAAGATGCCAACCAAAGTGCCTGCAAAGTCTATCTCTGTCCTGTGTGAGCTGGCCAGCTGGTGGCAGAATGACACAATCTCTTCCCACCTCTGTCGTCACCCAGCCATCAGCTGGGCGAGTGGTGCTGGGCACCTTGCTGTGTGACCAGCAGGGGCAGGGTAGTGCATTCCTGGGGTCTCACACTGTGCTAGGCACAAAGCAGGTCCTTGTGGCCCCTGGGGGCTGAGCTTGCGGAAGCAGGCTGGAATCTGCTCTGTTTCCATCTTGGCACATGGGTCGCCTGAATGCCGCTTAGAATGAAAGGAGTCTCAGAAAGGAACGTGTGATTCTCTTCACTGAATTTAATGGTACACATATGGCTGGAAATGACTGGGTCACACTGAATGAGCAGCAGGACTGTGCATGTGTGTCTGTGTGTCCGTGTGTCTGTCTGTGTGTGTATACTTGTGCATACATATTCTTAATTTTTACTTCTTTCTGATTCATCCTGATCCTGGCCAATGCTGTAACTTCTCTTTCTGTTTCCTTTCCCGTGCTATTTCATCACCTCCTTCCCCACCTCATTTCTCCACCCCTTGACCCTGGGACACTAGCCGGGAACCAGAGGCTCCAGCAGGTCATGCAGGCGGCGGATCCTCTGGAGATCCAGGCTGACGTGCACTGGACTCATATCCGTGAGAGAGAGGAGGAAGAGAGGATGGCGCCGGCCTCTGAGTCCTCTGCTTCCAGAGGTAAACGCTCCCAGCCGCAGGCTGCAGCGTGCCCGCAGCACCACTCGCCTGCTGTGTCTGTCGCCACAGGGGGCCTTTCTGTCAGGGCAGAGCCTCGTGTGAGGTCACACACGGGAGCCGGGTGCATCCCGCTTTGCTGCTGTCAGTTGTGACACCTGCACTTTTCATCTGAGGATATGTAAAGTTCTCTGTGGATTAAGAGGTTGTGGACTCTTTCTCCGTTGATGCGAAGTGGTAAAACGAACATGATCTTGGGTAAACCAAGAATTTCCTGTCTTTCTCTCATGTTTCTGGCCACGGCTGCTCTTTCCTCACTTTGTAAAACGTTCTGGTCCTTCCCTCACAGAGTGTGTCTGGACGTGAATGTGTGTTGGCAGGAAGGGGGCGGGAGGGGCGTGTTTGGAAGTGAAATGAAGTCTTGGGAAGAGATTTCTATCCAGGAGGCCTCTAGAGTAGCATCATCACCAGCCCCAGGCTTTAGGTGGGACGATCTGTGTCACACAGTAGGATGAAGATGCACCTTATTCTGGTTTCTTTTAATAAAGAAATAGCAATAAGAAGAACCGTGGAGACTGTTGAGGGATGTGGTGGCCGCTGTGCCATCCTTCCCAGCGTGCCGTCTTCCAAATACCCACCCTCGGTGTTACCTCTGCTGTCACTCCTGTGTGTTCACATTTTCATTCAGCACCGGTCACGGGCCACACACCCTGCCAGGCTCTGAGCATACAAAAGGGGCGTTTCCTGCCATCATGAAACAGCATTTAATAAGACGTTTGTTCCTCCCTGGCCCCAAATCTTCACCTCTAGGCAAGACCAGCCTCCATTTCCAGCTTGTGATGGCGCTGTGAACACCTGCAGCACTGGGCTGGCCTGTGAGCTCGGGAGCGCTCTGCAGCCCTGGGCCAGCGGCGGCCCTACCTTGGGTTTTCCCTCTTCTCTTCGCATCCCGATTCTCCATCACACAGGCTAACAACAGGGCTCGCACCCCTTGTTGGTGCCGGACAGGCCTCTGTCCTGAACGCCGTCTCAGTTTCTCTTCGGTTTGGGATTTTAAGGATGACCTCGGCTCTCCTCGTGGGGAACGCATATTGCTGTGTAACTTTGTATTTGTCGTCTGTTTTAAATTCAGTGCCCGACCTTCCCTCCATACGCCGCGCGGCGGTGCAGGCCTGGCTGGAGACGGTCTCCGGAGGTAGTCTGGTGATGTTCACTCTCTCCCCACTCACCGTAACCTCTCTCTAGGCGGCTCTGCTGGTACCTTAACACTAGACTCCTGGGCCTGTTGCAAGTGCATGCCAGGGCGGCGGAGGCGGGTGGGGGCACCTGCATGTCTTGCCAGACAGCCCGCCCTTGCATGGATCAGACGCACACCCCCTCCTTCAGGGCAGCTCAGAGGGAAACAGGAGGGCAGGCAGGACAGACACAGGCAGGTTTGTAGTGATAGAGTCGGGTAAAAAGGCCAGAGCCAAAGGAACGTTTTTGGCACTGAGATGTTTAAAGTGTGTTGAGGATGAGATGGGTCCTGATTGAGTGTGAAAGGGGAGGAATCAGAAGATATTCCACATCCTACCAAGGTATCAGAGAAGGAGGCAGTCAAAACCAGGGGTTTATGGGAGGATGACGGTGGAGAGGGACGGGCAGAGGATGGGTGGATGCTATTCAGCTGACAGGCTGGGTGTGACCAGGGGTGACACCAGCCAAATCCAGCCTGAGCTGCAGGCGTCTCATCGAGTGCAGGAGATCGTTGAGCAGCCTGAGTTGTCCTTCCTAAACGTTTCTGGAACTGTGTGTTTCTCACCGAGGGACTACCAGCATTTGGGGCAGGACAGCTCTTTCCCTCACAGAAGGTTTTACATTCTGGCCTCCACCCTTGCAATGTCCATGCAGCCTCCACCACCCATGAAGACACCAAAAATCTCTCCACGAGTTGTGAGACACTGCCGGAGGAAGGGCAGCGGTGCCCCCAGCAGCACCACTGTCCTAGCGGTCACTTCTGGGATGCACACATGGGAGCTCATGGGGCTTCACTGGCCTGTCCCTGTGTCCTCCCGGCAGTGGGAGAAACAGGCACACAGCCACAGGGGAGGGCCACTGCTCTTTATACAGAGACGGCCAGCTCCCCTTCTAGACAGTGTGGGTCCCTAGGGCAGTGGGGCAAGAGCCCCCCAGCTGGCGGCTGAGGGAAACCAAGAGCTGAGCGGGTCAGTGGCTCCTGGCTTTCATAGCGCGTGGCTCATCAACCTGCGTGGCAGCTTCTAGCACCCTGCACTCCGTCTTAACCTGAATTTCACCCCTAGATCCACCCCTCAAGCTGTGTCTCTTTCAACACCGCTGCTGCTGCGTTGATATTTCTCACCTGTTTTTTGTCTCTGTGACGATTGTTCCTTTCAAGGTCCTGCCGAGGAATGTAGACCTCTCACCCACCTGACTCTACCACAGGCATTTCTAAGTAGAAAGTCTACAGGAGAGCCACGTGAAGGACCAAGGCACCAGGGCGGGTCAGGCTAACCCAGGGTGCCCTGGGCTGTGCCCGGCTGGGAGGCCTTTGTGGGTCTCCTTGGTGCTGGCCTCCAGTTCCCTCGCCAGCAAGAGTGTAGGGTTGCCATCTGGATCCCTGGGCACCTAGATTCACCCCAACAAATCTGTCAGGCGTAGTGGCCGTCTCCATGGCGCGGGCCAGATTCTGTTCTAAACGGGGCTTTTGTTCCTCCTTTTCAGAACTGGTGTAGTGCAGCCATGAATTCTTTTGTCTTTGCCTCAGAAGTCCCACTCCCTGGTATTTGAGGAACTGTCTTCCTTGAGTGGCCAAAAGCAGTGTTCTCACACCGAGGTTGTAACCCATAGAAATACTTGAGGCGTCTCCCCCTGCTTCCCAGCAGGTGCCGTTGCTATAGGATAGCATTTGGCACGGCCAGCTCCGTGGGCCGCTCTGGCATCTCAGGGAGGCACGTGGCCCTAACTGTCAGCTAGTCTGGGAACCCACCTATCTCTCCCTGTGGCGTGGCCTGTCTGTTCCCTTCCAAACCTGTTTCATGCAGTTCTTCAAACACTAGATTTGAACCGTCCTCTTACAAACTGTGCATAAAAGATAAACATAAGCTTAAGGAATTATTAAAGAAACAAAAACTCATATAACTGCCACCCTGGTCAAGGAGTAAAACGTTACCAGCGTCTTCTAAGTGCCTGGCCTGTGGAGAGAAGACGTTGCTTCCGAGGCTTTGCCCTCCCATTTCCACACAGTTTTTTAAGAAATCCACCTAACCAGGCGCCGTCGGTTCCCTGCTCCCCAGCCTGGGGCTTTGATCTGTGCAGACTCTTGTGTATGGACATCAGAGCATAACTCCTTTCTCCTGAAATTAAAACCCTTAGGGGTAATTTGGGAGTGGCTGGGCTTGAACCCTAGGAGAGCCTGCAGACCGCCGCGGTCAGTGGTCCTGTGGGTCTCAGGTGGTGCAGGTCTCAGTGTCCTCAGAGCATAGCGTGCCGCCCTCTTCCTGCCGGTGCAAGTTCTGAGTGTGGGAGATGGGGACGGTGTGTGCGTGCTTAGGGGCTGGCTCCTGGGGAGGGGAAATTGTCAAGGGCTTTGCCTCATTTTGCAGCCCTGAAGGGCCACTTGGAGTCCAGAGGATGAACTTTACATACCCTCAGCCCCCAGTGCTCTCCCTAAGTATTAGTATTTCTCTAAATTATCGCAAGGGAAGCTCGTCTGGTGCCCCTGCACGCGGCACTATGGACAACCCCCTCGGCCGACTGGACCTCAGCCTTCTCGCTGAAGAAACAGTCCCTCTAATTCTATTGCAGGCTGAGTGTTTCTTATCCAAAATGTTTGAGACCAGAAGTGTTTTGGATTTCGAATTTCTTTCGGATGTTGGAATCTCTGCGTATACATAATGAGAGATCTTGGGGATGGCACCCAAGTCTAAACACGAAATGTATTTATGTGTCATATATACCTTGTACACGTAGCCTACAGATAATTTTATACAATATTTTTAATAATTTTGTGCATGAAACAAAGTTTTGGCTGTGTCACCACGTGAGGTTTGCTGTGGAATTTTCCACTTGGCCTCTTGTCAGCACTCAGAAAATTTCAGATTTTGGAGCATTTTGGATCTTGGATTTTCGGATTCGGGATGCTCAGCCTGCGTTATGAGGGCTGAATGGCTCCTGGTGTGTGAGGCGGTCAGCACATGACCAGGCTTTGGTAGATGCTGTTGGGCCTCGGCCCAGAGAAGCAGCGTTTCCCCTTCCACCCTCCTCCAACTGAGGTTCCTACAGCAACGTTTGGGGAAAGAGGAACAGTGCCCCCACCTTCAGCCGCTCTTCTCTTCCCACTTGGCCCCTAGCACTGAGAAATGCCAACCTCCTGTGTTTGGGGGCCCTGGGCCCCCCAGCGCCCGTGCTGCGTGTGGAGAGCCCCCTGGGCCTGGCAGCATCTCCCTTCTGGGGCCTGCATGGCACTGCCCTGAGAAAGGCAGTACCTCTCACCCCCATGAAGATGCAGCCTGTCTGTTCTCCTTTTCTTCCTTCCTTTGAACCTTTCTGCTTTGCAGCTCCGTTGGATGAGAATGACCTAGAGGAAGATGTGGACTCGGAACCAGCTGAGATAGAAGGGGAGGCAGCAGAGGATGGGGACCCAGGAGACACTGGTGCTGAGCTGGATGATGGTAGGGGTCCACCCTCCCTGCCCCTGTGGTGGGAGCTCAGGGAAGATGAAGGCAATATGCTTTCCAGCAAAATCAAGCTCAGTGAGGCCGCCATTGGGCCTCCTGGTTCCTTCTTGGCTCCGCCATGACTGGAATGCATCTCATTCCACCCGACCACCACCTACCCACGAGCCCCAGGCGACTTGGCCTGCACTCGTCCGGCTGCGGCTGGGTGCCTGAGCCAACCTGCGGCTTTACACAAGGCCTTTCATCCAGCTGACTGGCTCCCAAAGCTAGATACCCGGAGGTGTGTGCTGCATCGCAGTCTGGTTGTGAGGGCCTGACGGGGTCAGGGGCGAGACTGGGAGGAATGAGAAGAGCCCAAGCTTGTGAGGGGGCGCAGGCCTCAGCTGTGGAGTTGGTGTGGCAGTCAGGGCTGCTGAGAGGAGGAGGTGCCTAGAAGGGGGCCTGTGAGGCCAGGCCTACCCTCCGCAGGCACACCCTGTCTTTCTCTGTCGTAGTCCATCATGTGTGACTATTGCTATATTTAGAAAGAAACAGCCCCACAAGCTTTGATGCGGCCCCGCTTTGCCAAGGCAGGAGGGTGCTCTTGGCCGTACCCCTCAGGAGCCGGGGTGGTCTGGTAGCCAGGTCTATCCCTGCATAAGAAGGGCCTCCTGGTCTGCACCTGAGCAGTTGTGTTGCAAATGAGCAAGTGGCGGGGCTGCTCAGGCGGAAAAGGAGTCGGCCTCACTTAGGGTGTGCACCTGCTTCTGCCCCTTCCCTCTGCCAGATCAGCACTGGTCTGACAGCCCATCGGATGCTGACAGAGAGCTGCATTTGCGGCACGCAGCTGAGGGGGCAGCAGAGCCGGAGCTGAGGGTATCAGAAGATGAGGAGAAGCTGCCCGCCTCACCGAAGCACCAAGAGAGAGGTGAGCCTGTCATTGATGGGAGAGACAACTTCAAGAATTCCTGCAAGAGCCGTGTGCACACGAGAGTGGCTCAGGGGCCAGGTGCTTCAGAGCAGAGCCACGGTGCACGCCAGCCTCCGAGATGCAGAGAGCTCCTTGCCTTTTCCTCCTGTGTCCACCCTCCTTGTGCCACAGGCTGCTGCAGGTGCTTTGGCCAATGGCCCTTTCCTTGTGTAGTTTGGGTCTGGGAGAAGGTAGGTTTGTCCTGAAGCTCTGCGTGCAGAGCCTGCACGTGGAGGAAGCCCACACTCTGACCTGGTGTTGACAGGAGCACCTGCAGAAAGTGCCGGGCAGCCCCGGGAAGACGCTTCCAGGACCCTGGCCTCTGAGAGAACCTGTGCTTTCCAGAAGAACTGGGAGCAGACTCAGCTCCCAGCTCCACCCTCCTCTCCGCCCTCTGGGGCTGGCTAATAGGGGTGCCCTCCTAGCACATGACGGGGCTTCCTCTTGTAAGGCCCTGTGTTCATTCTTTTCAGGTCCCTCCCAAGCCACCAGCCCCATCCGGTCTGCCCAGGAATCAGCTCTTCTGTTCACTCCAGTCCACAGCCCCTCAACAGAGGTAAGGGTTTCGGGCTCGCTGTGGGGTACAGAGAACTAATGGGACCCCAAGGACACATATTAACCTCTGTTTCGGGACCCATGGTGTGGGTCCCACCAAACTGGGGCTAACATAGCCTGCTGGCCTCCTCGTTCTGAGGAAGACTGAAAACTCTCGTCCTCCTTGTAGTAAGTGGAGCTGTTGGTGACAGGAGTGGCCTTGGAGTTCCAGCTCAGTACTCTTGGGGATGAGGCTGTCTGGGTGGCATGGGTGGCACCTACTAACTCTGCCCCACTCTGATCCCAAACCTGAGTCGTCTACCCCATGTCACTGTGTTAGGTACACATACCACATACCACATGTTTAATTTAAACATAAATTTATTAAAAATAAATAATTTATTGTACATAACAAATGTATAATAGATATATTAAAATTATGTTTAAATATGTTATAAATTTATTTTTATAATAAATTTATTAAAAATAATTATAATTTGTTTTATGATAAATGGTATAATAAAATATTTGATATTTTATTCAAAATAAATTTATGTTCAAATTAAAGCAATAATATTGATGGGATGATTGGTTTGATATGACAAATGCATTTTTAACATTATGTTAAAATAAATGTATAACCATTGAAATTTACAACATCCAGCCAGGCGCAATGGCTCATGCCTGTAATCCCAGCACTCTGGGAGGCCGAGGTGGGCGGACCACGAGGTCAAGAGATCAAGCCCATCCTGGCCAACATGGTGAAACCCCGTCTCTAATAAAAATACAAAAAATTAGCCAGGCGTGGTGACAGGCGCCTGTAGTCCCAGCTTCTCGGGAGGCTGAGGCAGGAGAATGATGTGGGAGGCGGAGCTTACAGTGAGCCGAGATTGCGCCACTGCACTCCAGCCTGGGCAACAGAGCGAGACTCCGTCTCAAAAAAAAAAAAAACGACATCCATGCAGACAGCCTGTGGTGTGTGAACCACATGAAGAATGCTGCAAAGCCAACTGTGACAGCAGGTCCTGTGGAACATGGTTTGAGAAATACCGTCAGCAGGCCATATGAGGGAGAAAGCTGGAATACAAAGCCTACATCTGCTTGAAATAGTCTTTGGGATTCTAGGAAGCATGGAACTATTCGGTGATTGATTGATTGATTGATTGATTTTTTTTTTTTTTTTTTTGAGACAGGATCTCACTCTTGCCCAGGCTGGCATGGGCAACAGTGCAGTGGCATGATCATGGCTCACTGCAGCCTCCAACTCCTGGGCTCAAGCAATCCTCCTGCCTCGGCCTCCCAAAGTGCTGGGATTACAGGCATGAGCCGCTGCACCTAGCCTGTTCACTGATTTGATTTTTTTTTTTTTTTGAGATGGAGTCTCGCTCTGTCTCCCAGGCTGGAGTGCAGTGGCTTGATCTCGGCTCACTGCAAGCTTTGCCTCCCGGATTCACGCCATTCTCCTGCCTCAGCCTCCTGAGTAGCTGGGACTACAGGTGCCTGCCACCACACCCAGCTAATTTTTTGTGTTTTTAGTGGAGACAGGGTTTTACCGTGTTGGCCAGGATGGTCTCAATCTCCTGACCTCGTGATCTGCCCACCTCAGCCTCCCAAAGTGCTGGGATTACAGGCGTGAGCCACCGCGCTCAGCCATCTGTGAAATGGGGAGGCTTTGTTTGAGACTCTTGGATGGGGTGATTTAAGGACTGGTGTAGGAATCTCTGCACATCTTTGAGCTTCCTGGGGAGGACAATTTGATCATAATGCACTGTGATAAGTAGCTATTGTAAGTTTTCTTACGGTCCTGGCCCCTCTGTATGTATGTCAGGGATCTTGGCGCTCTGGGGCCTCCTGGAGGGTGAGAACTGCATTTGTCCATGTTCTTTTGGCCAGTGTTCCTATGAGTGAACAAAGAATATAGGATGTATTTGAGATGAACCAAACCCTGAAAACCCAGTTTGTCTCAACTAAGCAGAGTGGTTCTAAACATTGAACAACTGGGGCAGAAAGTGAAAAGTGTTCTCCTGGAGCTGTTCTAATAACAACTGGAAGGACGGGGAAGTCCTGCAGTAGGCACAGGTGCAGGCGCTTTGAGCGAGAAAGCTCCATGAGGATGCTGCTGGCCGTGAAAGCCCCCACTTCTCAGCGGCTTCTGTCTTTCTTCCCTGCAGGGGCCCCGACTCCCACCTGTCCCTGCCGCCACCCGGGAGACATTACCTGAGGATCGCCTTTTCCCTGAGCCTTTGCTCCCCAAAGAGAAGCCCAAAGCTGATGCCCCCTCAGATCCGAAAGCTGTGCACTCTCCCATCCGATCGCAGCCAGTAGCCTTGCCAGAGGCCAGGACTCCGGCCTCACCAGGGAGCCCGCAGCCCCGGCCGCCCGTGGCAGCCTCCACGCCCCCACCCAGCCCACTCCCCATCTGCTCCCAGCCCCAGCCTTCCACCGAGGCCACTGTCCCCTCCCCTACCCAGTCCCCCATACGCTTCCAGCCTGTCCCAGCCAAAACATCCACCCCACTGGCCCCTCTCCCTGTCCAAAGCCAAAGTGACACCAAGGACAGGCTGGGCAGCCCCCTTGCTGTGGACGAGGCCCTCAGAAGGAGTGACCTGGTGGAGGAGTTCTGGATGAAGAGCGCGGAGATCCGCCGCAGCCTTGGGCTCACCCCTGTGGACCGCAGCAAGGGGCCTGAGCCCAGCTTCCCCACGCCTGCCTTCAGGCCAGTGTCCCTCAAATCCTATTCCGTTGAAAAGTCCTCCCAGGATGAGGGACTCCACCTTCTCAAGCCTCTGTCTGTCCCCAAAAGGCTGGGCCTGCCAAAGCCAGAGGGCGAGCCTTTGTCCCTGCCAACCCCCCGGTCCCCGTCGGACAGAGAGCTGCGGAGCGCCCAGGAGGAGCGCAGGGAGCTGTCCAGCAGCTCTGGCCTGGGCCTGCACGGGAGCTCCTCCAACATGAAGACACTGGGCAGCCAGAGCTTCAACACCTCGGACTCCGCCATGCTCACGCCACCCTCCAGCCCGCCCCCGCCCCCGCCGCCGGGTGAGGAGCCCGCCACCTTGCGGAGGAAGCTCAGGGAGGCCGAGCCCAGCGCCTCGGTGGTCCCGCCGCCCTTGCCCGTCACGTGGATGCGGCCCCCCCGGGAGCCTGCTCAGCCCCCCAGAGAGGAGGTGCGGAAGTCTTTTGTGGAGAGCGTGGAGGAGATCCCCTTCGCTGACGACGTGGAAGACACCTACGACGACAAGACTGAGGACTCAAGCCTGCAGGAGAAGTTCTTCACGCCCCCGTCCTGCTGGCCGCGCTCGGAGAAGCCTCCCCACCTGCCCCTGGGCAAGGAGAACGGGAGGCTGCCTGCTCGGGAGGGGGCGCTGCAGCCACAGAAGAGGGGGCTGCCCTTGGTCTCCGCGGAAGCCAAGGAGTTGGCCGAGGAGCGCATGCGAGCCCGAGAGAAGTCCGTGAAGAGCCAGGCGCTGCGGGACGCCATGGCCAGGCAACTGAGCAGGATGCAGCAGATGGAGCTGGCCACGGGCGCCCCCAGGCCCCGCAAGGCATCCTCAGCACCCTCCCAGGGCAAGGAGCGCCGGCCCGACTCCCCCACACGTCCCACTCTCAGGGGCTCCGAGGAGCCCACCCTGAAGCATGAAGCCATCAGCGAGGAGGTCCTCTCCGCGCCGTCGGACTCGGGGGGCCCAGATGGCTCTTTCACTTCATCCGAGGGCTCCAGTGGGAAGAGCAAGAAGAGGTCATCACTCTTCTCCCCCCGCAGAAACAAGAAGGAGAAGAAGTCCAAAGGCGAGGGCCGGGCCCCAGAGAAGCCCAGCCCCAACCTCCTGGAGGAAGCTGCCACCAAACCCAAGTCCCTGTGGAAGTCGGTCTTCTCTGGATACAAGAAGGACAAGAAGAAGAAGGCCGACGACAAGTCCTGCCCCAGCACCCCCTCCAGCGGGGCCACGGTGGACTCTGGCAAGCACAGGGTGCTTCCCGTCGTAAGGGCAGGTGCGTCAGCGGCCGGACCCACTTGCAGGCAGAGCGGGAGGGGCTCGGGTCACTGGGCCTCTCAGGATCCATGCTCCCACTGCCCTCCCAGGGGTTCTCAGGAGCCGTGCTGACCTAGAGAAGGGACTGAACCATGGGTTCACAGGGCATAGCCCGCTGCGTAGCAGAGTTCTCAAAGCCAGCTTGAAACTGTATCAGGAAGACTATGGAGGTTTGTGCCCTTCCTAAAGTCAGATGACCCCAGAGGGGCCCACTCCTGCACAGGGCAGAGGGCAGTGCTGCCAGGAGGGGCTGGGCAGGCCCGGGTGCCACCTGCTTGGGATCAGCTGTACCCTGCCCAGGCAAATGTATCCCCTAGGATGGGGGAAGGATCCCTTAAACTAAAATGAATGCAGCCCCCTACCCAGCCTCCACTGCATGTGGGAACGTAGAATCAGGAGAGCGCTGCGCCTGCTGTCTGGCACCATCCTCACGTGACCTCCCTCTCTCCACAGAGCTGCAGCTCCGGCGCCAGCTAAGCTTCTCCGAGGACTCAGACCTCTCCAGTGATGATGTCCTTGAGAGGTCCTCGCAGAAGTCACGGCGAGAGGTGGGTAGTCAGGCAGGGGGGCTTCACGGGGCCTGGGCCCCTCTGCTCACTGCTGGGCTTTGGTGGGGTAGAGAGGAAGAGCAAAGCTGAAGCCAGGGATGGACAGCTAGTGGCGCACAGCCTGCTGACCGTTGACCCCTACACACTGAGGCGGTCACACTGGGCTTTCTACATAGGAGCTGGGGCCGTTGGCATCCACAGCAAGGGTTCCTGTTTTCTTGTGAAGAAGTAAAGACTGGAGCCATTCCTGCGTCACACTCCTCTTCGCTGGAGGAGGCAGCCTGGCATTGTCTATTTCTTCCTTGTCTGTTCTTCCCCAGGGCCTGGAGAACACTGCCCAGTCCAGGGCTGCTGGCAGGAGCTGGGACCTCAGGCACTGAGCATTGTGCCTGGTCCTACCCACTTGGTGGGTTTGATAGTTAGGGAGGGTTTGTCGTCTTAAAGGGCTGGTCCAGGAACTGACCTGCAGGGCTGCTAGGTCTGACTCCGTCCCTCACTTTCCGGAGCCCAGGACTTTGGGTGGATCCAGTGAAGGTGGAGGGGAGAGGAATCAGAGCACACTCTAATAGGCACCTGTCAGCATACAGGGTGGGCGGAGCCCTGGGGCCTGTGCTCCTCCTCCTGGCTGGGGGCAGCCTGGCTGTCTCCTGCTTCCTGCCTCCCTTTTGCGTGAAAAGCTTCCCCAGAATGTAGCATGCCTTCGTTGCAAGGCTTCTGGGGCTTGGACTTGAGTCTGCCCTCTTCTGCTGCCCAGTAACCCAGTCAGGCTACATGGTGCGCCTGAGCCCGTCACATGCCCATTCAGTGAAGGTGGCTCCTGCAGCCTGAACCAGTTCCTCTTTAAATAACTCAGCAAACTGGACGCTTTATTTCTCATCCCCTCCTTCGTCTCCCTTGGCCTTGCCAGCTCTTTGGCCGCTCTCCTAGAAGATTCTAGAGAGCCAGACCTCTCCTCCTGCTCCACCTTCTGCAGAGCCAGGCTTCTTTGTGCCCCAGCCAGGCCAGCTACTGAGTTAGGGTTGGGATCTGCGCCTTCTCAGGGACTGGGAGAGTGTGTCTTCTTCAAGGCTACCTGTCGAGCTTTCCTAGGCTGTCGCACTGGGGCTGAGCTGTAATTCCCCTGGGTTTCTGTGTGGGTCCCTAAACACATCCCAACACTGGTGACGGGTGCTGCCTTCGGGGGCAGCAAAGAATGGAGAATGTGGTCCCAGGCTCACTGCCGCAGTGGTGACAGTGTGGACATTCAACCTATTGGGTCAGGTTGGCCACCCACCTCCACATCCCTCACGTTGTTGTGGTGGGCAGTGTGCCCACTGCTTCTCCATCCGTGAAGCTGCCTGGGCTGGCTGTGCCAAGGCTAGTACTTGGTGAGCCTCCCCAGGGCCCAGCAGGTGTGAGGAGCAAGGGAGGAACGGGAACAGGACCCCAGGAACAAGCCATGGACACCAATTATGGAACCCTAGAGCCAGAGGGTGGCCTCTAAGGCCTCATGCTCCAGGGGCACCCACAGAGGCAAAGTCATTTGCTAGAGGTCACATAGGGAATACTAAAGTCAAAGTCATTCCTGGGGGACAGACAGGCTAGTGGATGGCCGACCTAGAGGACGGCCAACCTAGGGGACGGCTGAGGACCAAGGAGACGGTCGAGCTAGGGGATGGATGACCTAGAGGACAGTCAAGTTAGGGGATGGATGACCTAGGGGACCGGTTGAGCTAGGGGTAGGATGACCGAGGGAGACAGTCCAAGCTAGGTTCGATGGCTGATGACCATAGGGGGGACCGTTTGAGCTAGGCGGATGGCATGACCTAGGGCGGAGCAGTTGGGAGCGGGTTAGGGCATGGATGAGCCTTAGGAGGTGAGCCAGCCTAGGGGGATGGATGCGAGACCAAGGTAGACGGTCAAGCTGTAGGGGATGGATGGACCTAGGGGACAGGTCAAGGGGCTAGGGGATGGATGACCTGTCAGGACTGTCGAGTAGATGGATGACCTAAGGGCGGCATCCGGGATGAGCTGAGCGACCAAGGGAGGAGCGGTCGAGCTTAGGGGTATGACTGACCTAGAGGACGGCCCACCTGGGGGGGGATGGGGCCTTGAGGACAAAGAGGTTGGTTGAGCCGTAGGGGATGGGGTGACCTAGAAGGACAGTCGAGCTATGGAGATGGGGGGGGTTTTGAACCTTGGAGGGACGAGCCAACCTAGGGGACTGGCCTGAGCGACCGAGGCAAGACAGTCGAGGCTAGGGCTTGGATGATCCTTAGGGGACAGGTCAGTTACGGGGATGGGATTGAGCCTTAGCGGGCCTGTCGACTGTAGGCGGCATGGGATGACCGTGTAGGGGAACAGCTCGGAGCTAGAGGTTTGGATGACCTAGGGGACAGTTGAGCTAGGGGCATGGTGACTGAGGGATGGGCCGACCTAGGGTATGGGCTGAGGAACCGAGGAGATGGGTTCTTGCGTAGGGGGATGGATGAACCATTATGGGGGCCAGCTGCAGTCAACGCTAGGCGGATGCGTATGAACCTAGGGGACGTCAAGCGTTAGGGGGATGGATGACCCTGTAGGACAATCGAGCAGAGATGATGACCTGAGGGACCACGCAGCTGTAGAGAGGGATGGATGACCTAGGGGACCATCGAGCTAGGGGATGGATGACCTAGGGGACCATCGAGCTAGAGGATGGATGACCTAGGGGACCATTGAGCTAGGGGATGGATGACCTAGGGGACCGTCAAGCTAGGGGATGGATGACCTAGGGGACAGTCGAGCTAGAGGATGGATGACCTAGGGGACCATTGAGCTAGGGGATGGATGACTTAGGGGACAGTCAAGCTAGGGAATGGATGACCTAGGGGACAGTTGAGCTAGGGGATGGATGACCTAGGGGATGGCCAACCTAGGAGACAGATGACATGGGAGAAGGCCAAGCCACAGGCAGCTGACCTGACTCCCACATGGTGTGGAGTCAGCCTGAGTGAGAGCTGGGTGCTGTGCCTTTTCAAGACATGGATGCTAAAGTGGAAAGCAAACTGAACAAAAACAGCCATAAATGACATTTTGGAAACAATTAAATTTAATAGAGGACTGGATGGTAGTATAAATGTGTAATATCATCAGATTGTTAAGTTCCTTGCAAGTGATAAAGGCACTGTTAATGTACTTTTATGTAGGAAAGTTATATAGGAAAACGTCTGAGTTCTTAGGAAGTACATCTAAAATGTTTAGGGACGAACGATCATGATATCTACCAATGATTCATTACAAAAGGTCATATAAAAGATGACAGATGAAGCATGTGGCAAAATGGTAACCTCTGGCAGATACAGCTGAGAGGCTTGTGGGTGTTCATTGTCTTCCTCTTTCAACTTTCTTGTGGGTTTAAATTTTTCAAAATGAGTGTGGGGAGCAGGGGCTCTAAAGCGAGGATGGGGTTTGACCTGCCTCGGAAGGAGGAAGCCGCTTCTGCCAGGCCGGGATCCCAGGGCCACTCCAACGGCACAGGCGCCTCCTCCTGCCTCACAGCGTCTGTGAAACAAGAGCCTGGGTTTTGTTTTGTTAGAAATTTTTAAACCGGTCAAAATAACTTATATTTTTATTTAAAATGTTTATTATAGAAAATTTAGGATAATTCAGACTTTTAAAAAATCACCTGTAGGCCGGGCGCGGTGGCTCAAGCCTGTAATCCCAGCACTTTGGGAGGCCGAGACGGGCGGATCACGAGGTCAGGAGATCGAGACCATTCTGGCTAACACAGTGAAACCCCGTCTCTACTAAAAATACAAAAAACTAGCGGGGCGAGGTGGCGGGCGCCTGTAGTCCCAGCTACTCGGGAGGCTGAGGCAGTAGAGTGGCGTGAACCCAGAGGCGGAGCTTGCAGTGAGCTGAGATCCGGCCACTGCACTCCAGCCTGGGTGACAAAGCGAGACTCCGTCTCAAAAAAAAAAAAAAAAAAAAAAAAAAAAATCACCTGTAGCCCAACCTACAAGAGAGAACTTGTGTTTACCTCTTTTCTTTGCTTCCATTTGTCTTTAAATACAAGCAACGCAGCTGCCTCTTGAGCCCGGCAGCCCACCAGAGTGTGGCCTGGGCACCCTGCCATGCCGCATCCAGTTTCACAGCAGAACTCCAGCGCCTATGGCTGGCTACCACAGGCACACAAGGACGGGTGGTGACTTCGCCCCTCCCAACCCGGAAAATGGGTGGATTGTGGGAAGGCAGCCACTGCCTCCCATTACTGTTGACATCGGCCACAGGCAAAGCTGTTAGTGCTGTTCTTAGGGTGCGGTGTGTAGTTCCTGTGGGCTTTTTGCAAGCCGCTTTGGGAAGTCATCTGTCTCTCTTTTTTTCTGAACCAGCTTGTTCTCATAACAACATTCTTTTGCTCTGATTTGTGGGAGAGGTGGGTCCACCTGAGGCAGGCGGGACACAGGTGCTCAAAGTCGAAGGAGGCAAATTTATTCTTGGGACGCACAGCTCTGCACAAGGCCGCCCCATAGATGGGATGGACGGAGCAGCAGGGAGCATGGCCAGGGTTGCAGCAGGCCTGGAGCTCTCAGGACTTCCCTGTCTTGTGTGCCACCACACACCCTGGTTTCCTTAGTGCCTTTCAGCCGTTTAATATGGCTGGTGAGACCAGAAGAGCAGATGGGACTCACCTTGGCCCTCAGAGCGGCTCTGCGCAAGGTGTAATAGAACGAGAAGAGGCTCCTGCTGCTGCCTGACGTACTTTTGGTGAATAGCAGCTACTGATGCTAGTTCACTTCCCTTTACTGGGCACACTCAAGAAATGGCAGCTGGGTGGCACACAGGAACACTGCCAGCGGAGAGCCTATCGGGGAGATGGTCGGCTTCCTTCCCAGTTTTGCTACGTCTGTCTGTCTCTGAGAGCAGGACCCCCTTTCCTCCCTCCCCCACCGTGCCGCTCCCCCGGAGCATTCAGCAGGGAAAAGTGGACTGAATTTCCACAAGCACATGGTCACTCGAGGAGAAAAGCATCTAGAATCACATATTTTAACGGTTTTGACTTTACACAAGGGACATTGGGATGAGGCGAGTTTTGGGGGAGGTGAGGAAGAAGCTGTTTCTTCCCAATAAAAGAGTGAACCCCGGCTGTTTTCAAAACCGGGTCCACTCAGATGCCGCCACTAGGACCTTCACACCCAGATTCCTACTTAGGCAGTCCTGTGTGACTTTGTGAAAAATAATCACGTGTTTTAAGTCTTGTGTGTTTGTTTTAAACTTCTAACTTATTTTGCTCCATTTCTGTGTTCTTAATTTTTAATTTGTTAATCATTATTATTATTACTATTCTGTTTTGTTTTCTGATGCCATCCCCTTAAAAGTCGATTTATGTACCACACGCCTTGGCATTCAGGAGATCACATGCATCAAAGGTAGTGTCTCATTCCCGTCAGCTGGTCACTGTTGCATGCATGTCTGTGATTAACCACCTGTCGCCGGCCCCGGCCCTCCAGCCACATCCTCACTAACTCTGTTTGTGCGTGCATGGGGCAGTGGCACACACTGGCAGCAGTACTTCCGTTAGGCGCGTCATGAGCGGGAAGGAGGATGAGACACCTGCTCCTCGCCGGCTGGAGTGCATGTGGTCATTTTGCTCTAGGTTCCTCGGGTCGGGACCGAGCTGCTCCTATGTGGCTGGGCACCCCAGAGAGGGGCAGTTCAGCAGCCCTCAGCTCTGATCAGCAAGGTGCTGATCAGCCACTCATGACCCTTCGGGACTGCCTGTTCGGGGGACCCTCTGTCGTTTGAGCTCTTCGAGTGAAGATTATGAGTATAGACCCCAAGTCACATTTGTCATCTTCGAAGTCTATGAAAGTTTTCTTGTTGGCCAGGTGTGGTGGCTCACACCTGTAATGCCAGCAATTTGGGAGAATCACTTAAGCCCAGGAGTTTAAGACCAGCTTGGGCAATATAACAAGATCCTGTCTCTACAAAAAAAATTTTTAAACCCATCTGGGCGAGGTGGCACACGCCTACAGTCCTGACTACTTGGGAGGCTGAGGCAGGAGGATCACTGGAGTCCAAGAGTTTGAAGCTGCAGTGAGCTATGATTGCGTCAGTGCACCCCAGCCTGGGTGACAATGAGACCCTCTCTCAAAAAAATCTTTTATATAGTCTCCTTGTTTCATTTTCTTAGAGGCAATAAAGAGAGTCTTATGAATAAAGGCAAATCCCTAACCTTTGCCCCTCTGGTTGCCCACGGTTTGTTCAAAGCATTTGATGCTCCCTTGAGCCCTTGGCACCCACGTGGGCAGGGGGCTGTGGGCATCCAGTCCACGGACTTGCACTGGATTGGCCCATTACCTCCTCTGTTCTTGATGGCACTGGGTGCAACAGCCCTGGCCAGGCCACAACCTCTCTTCTTCCCAGTGGCCGACGGCTGCCTCTGCAGACCCCAGAGTCGGTCCAGGTGCACCTCCACAATTCTTTCTTCAGACTATACTTGACTTAAAAGAGAAGCATCCCTGTTCTCTCTACTTGGGTGTCATTTCTTGGAAGACTCTCATGGATACTGCTCTTCTGAAGGAAGTGGCCCTTGATACCAAACAGGAAAATAAAAGGATCCTGATTTCTCTCTTTCCTTCCCTTGTAAGCCTCCTAGAAGCAGGAGGCTTGGTGAAACAGCCTACCAATGTTTTTATTCCCACAAAGTTTTAAAGACCAGACATCTTTATTGGGGAAGCAGGTGATCTCAGTGATAAAGCAGTGTGTGTCCCTTTATTGTTTTAACTGCCTAACAGTCGGTCCCCACTCAGCCTCCTGTCCCTGTGCAGAGGTGGGCAAATGTCTCACTCTGTGGATCTTAGGTGTGCCCGTGGCACTGAGGGCTGCTGCAGGCTGGGGACTCTGCAGACCTCATGCCCTCTGCCTATCAGCACCCCCGTCCTGCTAGCACTCTACAGAGGACAGCTTGTCCTGTCTGCCTGGGCACCAACTCCAACATGGGGGACAGACCTCTCCAGGCCCCCGCTGGCCTGCCGCCCACCCCTGTCCTAGGCCTCTGTGCACCTGACTGAGGAAATTTCTCTTGTTCTCTCCAGCCAAGAACCTACACAGAGGAGGAACTGAATGCCAAGCTGACCCGGCGCGTGCAAAAGGCAGCTCGGAGACAGGCCAAGCAGGAGGAGCTTAAGCGGCTGCATCGAGCCCAGGTAAAACCATGGAGGATGGGACCAGGGCACATGCGCAGGAGGGTTGGGCAGCATCTTCCTCTCCACCCAGCTGCTCCCTGCCGCACAAGCCAGTGCAGAGCAGAGCAGAGGTAGACAGGCCTCCCTGCCATCCGGATCACATTTGGCTGGTGCAGCCACAGAGGCCCTGCCTTGGTGGAGCTGTCAGTCAAAAGGGAAGAGCAGGCCGGGTGTGGTGGCTCAACGCCTGTAATCCCAGCACTTTGGGGGGCTGGGGCAGGCAGATCACTTGAGGTCAGGAGTTCGAGACCAGCTTGGCCAACATGGCAAAACCCCGTCTCTACTAAAAAAACAAACATTGGCTGGGCGTGGTGGCTCACGCCTATAATCCCAGCACGTTGGGAGGCCAAGGCGGGTGGATCATGAGGTCAGGAGATCGAGACCATCCTGGCAAACACGGTGAAACCCCATCTCTACTAAAAATACAAAAAATTAGCCAGGCGTGGTGACGAGCTCCTGTAGTCCCAGCTACTCGGGAGGCTGAGGCAGGAGAAAGGCGTGAACCTGGGAGGCAGAGCTTGCAGTGAGCCAAGATCGTGCCACTGTACTCCAGCCTGGGCGACAGAGCGAGACTCCGTCTCAAAAAAAAAAAAAGGAAGAGCCCTGCATTGAGTTTCCCAAATCCTTTGTTGTGGAACAATCATTGTAAATCACCTTGTTCAATTGTGAGGACTGTCGCCAGGATCCCTTTGTGGCCCCTCAGCCTCTGATAGGCCTGGAATTTTTGTGGGAAGAGGTCAGAGCTCTCCTCCCGTTCTCCAGCTTGTGTTCAAGCCGCACAGACCCTGAATCTAGACCATTGTAGATTTCTCTTTTTTTTTTTTTGTTTTGAGGCGGAGTCTCACTCCATGGCCAGGCTAGAGTGCAGTGGCGCTGAGCTCACTGCAACCTCCGCCTCCCTGGTTCAAGCAATTCTCCTGCCTCAGCCTCCCGAGTAGCTGAGACTACAGGCGCCCGCCACCACGTCCAGCTAATTTTTGTATTTTTAGTAGAGACGGGTTTCACCATGTTGGCCAGGATGGTCTCAATCTCTTGACCTCATGATCCACCCGCCTCGGCCTCCCAAAGTGTTGGGATTACAGGCATGAGCCACCGCACCCAGCCTTCTCTTTTAAATTTTTCTTGTAAAGATGGGATTTCCACTGCACTCTTCAGGAACCCCCTCCAGCACTCTAGCAGTCTTGCCATGAGAACAGTCTGGTACTCAGGCCCCTCCTGCTACAGTTTACATCCACTTCATGTCTCTGCAACACTCCTGGGAGGGTGGTCACGGCTACTTGAGCCATGTCCATACGCTTTGGTGCTGACTAGCAAGGCCCGGAGCCTAGCGTCTGCACAGGCTGGGTGGTTCTGGTGCAGGTGGTCTCCACACCACACCCTGAGCGCACCGCCCACAGATTACAGCCCTTTCCAGAGCGGCAACTCATTTGTTTCCCCTCATGCGGGTGTGGAGTTGTGTGTCCTCCTGAAGCCAGGCTGGAGAGCCGGGTGCTCAGGCTGTGCTGTCTGTCGTAGATCATCCAGCGGCAGCTGCAGCAGGTGGAGGAGAGGCAGCGGCGGCTGGAGGAAAGGGGCGTGGCTGTGGAGAAGGCGCTCCGGGGCGAAGCAGGTACTGCCGGGCTCCCTCCTAAGCTCTGCTCCTGTAGGAAACCCTCCCTCCCGCCGTGGTAGGCTAGTTCTACTTCACCTCACCTGGAATTCTGCTGCTTTTCCAGCAGGATTTTCTGGGGCCCTTCATCACTGAGATCTGGGGCTTCCTGTTAAGCAAAAGAAAATACCCGTCTGAGACAGCCCCAGGCCCATCCTGCTCCGCAGCCCCTCTGGGCTGCCGTTTCCCGCAGAGCGAAACCCAGTCCCCAGCATGTTGATGGCGAGCGCTGGCTCTTCCCACTCCTTCCCACCCCTCCATTTACTCTAGGAGGGAATAACTGAGAGTGAGAGAGATTGAACCGCAAGGAACCATCACAGAACTGCACTGAGCAGGTCCCCAGCCTGCACCCCACAGGCTCCCTCCTATCGTTAGTTCCCTGGGACCCTCCTGCCCACAGAGCCCTAGGCACCGCTGGTGGGGGAGCATGTGGCCACCCTCGGCACACACAGATTTCCAGAGGGCACCCGGGCCCTGTGTCCGCTGAAGGCCGGCCACTCAGGGTAGGGCTGGAGAGGCTCAGGGCATGTGACTAGCCGACGTGGAGCAGACTCCGGGGAGTGACTGGCAGGGCCCTGTGCTTGTGACTGCTGCTCCTGGCAGGGAAGCACTGGAGAGTGTGGTGCGCTCATTCCTGCCCTTCCACTCAGGGAACCCGCGGGGCCGCACTCAGCATAGTTGCGCACAGAGAATGCAAGGGAGTATCTGAGGCGTCTCTGGCCCAACGGCCCAGGAAGTCCTGTTGGTTCGGGACCTTGAAGCTGTAGGGCCAGCCCGGGGAGTGCAGTGGCCACTCTGCCTTCTCAAGCATCCACAAATCTTCGTCTAGTCTCTGGATGGGGAAACTGCCATCTCTTTATAGCCTGCAGGTTCAGCGTTCAAATCGTGAGCTGGGGATGAAGAAAAGGAGTGTCCTCTGACTTCCTCACTCTAGTGTGGCAGAGGGGAGCAGGGTGCCTCTGCTGACAGGCAGGCTGTCTGTGAAACGGAAGAACTGGGAGGAGGCGGCCAGGAGCAGGGCCAGCTGCTGCCATCTGATCTTGCTCAAAGACTGACCCATGGGTTCCTGGGAAGTGCCTGGTGTCAAGATGAATTCCTATGACCTGTAGGACTGAAGTTTGTGCGGTGGGGAGTGAGGGAGTCGAGAACGGAAGTAGGTCTCCTTTGCCAGGCCCTTTAAGGCCTGGAAATTGCAGCTTATCAGTCTCCTCAGTGATGACCTTCAGGCAAAGAGAGGGGATGGGGAGAAAGGTGAGGATGCGGATGTTTTTGGTTTGGGCTCACCTGATGCTGTTAATGCATGAAGCCTGGGCTACCAAAGGAAATGCAAAAGCTTGAAGCACTTAGCGTCCGATAGGCCAAGACGACTGGGCTGTGTTACTGTGAGACAAGCACAGCAAGGCGATTTGGGTTCACCTGAGAGGGTCCGAGGTTTCCCGGCGAACCTGCAGTACCCCTCCCCCCTGCCCTCCTCAGTTAAGCCTGAGCCCAGATGGAGTTGGCCCCAGCCCACCTGTGCCCGACTGCGTCCGGGCCTGCGGGGCCCTGCCCTCGTGCTGTTTCTCTTCTTGCAGAAGATATCAGGAGAGAGCCTAGGCCCATCTTCATTCCTTCTTGCCCTTCTCCGCAAATTACTTCTGCCAGGATGGATAGATCTCAACACACAGGCAGAATAACTCAGCAGTGTGTGCACCCACAGTTCGTGGTTTAAGCCCTTCAGGAAGAAGACAGCACTCTGCCCTCCTTACTCACAAGGTGGAGGTGGTGGTGCCATCGAGGTTGGTGGTTTCCGTAAAGCACTTGAGTGCCCGTGGCCTCCGAGAAGTCTGAGTGTAAAACCATGCTTCAGTGCCTCTGTCACAGGCCCTGTTATTCAAGCTTCTGCCAAAGGGCCGGAAAATAACATGCTGTTGAAGATTGGCGTAGGATTTTGCCAGAATTCTTTCTTCTAGTTGTTAGATACATCTCCTCAAACATATACAACCCGAATGCCATCTAAGTCAGTGGTTTTCAAGCTTGTTTTTTTAGCAGCAGAACCCTTTTTACAAGATTATAAGTTCAAGTTTAAAGTCAAAAAGAAGCACTCTAAAATGTTGATAATTAACACAGATTTGAAAATACAGGTTATAGCAGAGAGTTGTGGACATGACTGAGTCCCAGCATCCAGCCAGTACACACAAGAACTGTAGTTGCTTTAAGTGAAAACAGGGCTTTTTTGTTTGGTTGGTTTTTGGATTTTTTAACAGCTTACTTAGAAATCTCAGGATATTCGCAGTTTAAATGATGTAGATACTAGACGTTTAAAATGAGGCAAGAGCTTTTTTTTTCACAGTTGGATCGTAGCAGATCTAACAGCAGTTCCTATTCCTCATGACAAACAAGAGGCTCCCAAACAGTAAACAAAAACCCAGCTATGCTGGAATACCACAGCAAAACGTGTTACCCACCTAAATGAAGGGACTCGCTGACAGGCGTGCATGCTGTCACTGAGCTGTAGCTCTCCTGGACAGACCCTGAACGATGGCAGGTGAGCACGATGCTGCAGGCCTGAATTTAAATAATGAATTAAATGTCCTCTTCACTAACACATTCCCAAGGAGTTCAGTCACTGACACACAGAGAGAGGCGGAAACTTGATCCTGAGGGTACCACAAACTCAAGCTCACCTGGCAGCACAGATTATTGGGTTGATGGTCTCCAGTGGGTGAAAAGTTGGCATATAAAACATTTGGGCCGGGCACAGTGGCTCACGCCTGTAATCCCAGCACTTTGGGAGGCCGAGGCGGGCGGATCACCAGAGGCCGGGAGTTTGAGACCAGCCTGACCAGCATGGAGAAACCCCGTCTCTACTAAAACTACAAAAAAATTAACTGGGCGTGGTAGGATTACATGCCTGTAATCCCAGCTACTCGGGAGGCTGAGGCAGGGGAATTGCTTGAACACGGGAGGCAGAGGTTGCGGTGAGCTGAGATCGCGCCATTGTACTCCAACCTGGGCAACAAGAGCGAAACTCTGTCTCAAAAACAAAAATATTTGAAGGTGGTGTGTCTTATTTTAATAAGGTCTCTTAAAAGAGCTACAAGTGTTTGTACATCAGGTATTTGGGAGACCCCTTGGAATGCCTTTGGAAGAATCTTTAGGGTTCCACAGAAGCTTGAAAACCACTGTCCTAGTCCAAACTCCTTCCTTTATCTTCAGCAAATATCTCTATCCAAAGATGTTTCTGTTCTGTTTTTCAAGATGGGCCTTAGTAGGTCTGTTGGGATATTTCCTTGTGATGCATTTGAGGAAGTCTCAGGAATTTTCGGGAATTATGGTTCCTACCATAAGAATATAAGAATTTACAAATATATCATGTTCCTTCTCTTACGTGAATTGAATACATCCCTTCCAAGGCTGGTCTCACGTCACAGTTCCCCGTGGCCCTGCTCCTCCTTGGCCGATGCCGTCTGGGAAGCCCAAGTGTGCGTGCTACTGCTGCTGTCTCTCCTGCTTCTGCGTCCCATTCCTCTGCTTAGTCTCTTGGCACCTGGCTGAGCCCTGAAAAAGGCAGTGGCAGCTGGGCATGATAATAATCTGGAGTCTTCTCATCATGGCAGTCCACCCTTCCCTGGGGACTGTAGTAAACTGGCTGGAACCTGCTACCATCTCACTCGGTGGTCTCCAGCTTCCATCGCCGTCTGAGGGCGTCAGACTTTGTTAGCCAAGCTGCCTTTCCAGAGAAGGGCTCTGGCGTGGACCTGCCATCCCGTTCTCCATTTGTCTAAGGTATGACAACGTATGGCCAGGCCGCAAGGCTTAGCTTCAGCGCCTTTGATCCTAGGGCCAGGCCACGACTTAGGTAATTTCCAGTCCTGGGGCACCTGGGAAAGCTTTTTGTTACAAAACCATCGGCTCAGCCTTGAGCATGCGTTGAAAAGCTGGGGCAGGACCGCATTCTACTGCTGTCTGCTGTGTCACTCTCAAGGGGAGGCTCTCAGGTGGGACCGGAGACTGTGAGGATCTGCATTCAGAATGTGGGGTTTGGAGAAAAGGCAACACCATGGCGGCCGAGTGCTGTGCTCTGTGTGTGTTTATGATTCTGGGGAGATGAGGACCACCCGCTCAAGCCCAGCCTCTTGGCAGCGCCCAGTCTGCATCTCAGGCATGGAAATTACATAGCGCTCTTGACCAGACAGCTGCGGAACTACCAGGCTAGGAGTGCCCTGGGCCGGCAGACCTCCAGGAGCCTTGGGGCAAGTGCCTGGGGGAAGAACTCTGCATCAATCGCTGCTCGTTTCCTGTTTTTAAGAAGGCCAACTGAATTTGGAGGCCTAAGCCTCGAAACAGGATCCCCTTCCTCTCAAACCCATTCGGCAAAAGTGGGTGTGCAAGGCGTTTGATAGAGTCAGCAGTGGGGTCATGGGAATTCCTGGGAGAGCACCGACTGTGTGAAACCTAAGGATTGCAGAGCTTCTGTAGGACGTTTGCCTCCTGCCTGCAGCTTCCTGAGGCTGGGGCTTCCAGTATCACAACTGACAAGCAGGCAGCCCCGCACTATTAACCCTTAGTTAGAGAAGGTTGAGTCCCAGGGGCGGGAGTTCCCAGCAAAGCCAAAGCCTCTGTCCTGGATGTTCCCTGGCGTGCGTGGGATGTGTTGATAGTGACTGTTGACTCCCCGCGGTGGGTTTGACTTACTGCCCTCCTCCCACAGCCACGCAGTATGCAGATACGGCATGTGTGGACATGCGGTGTGTGATGCGCTTAGGCACGCATGCTTTCCAGCCGTTCCTCTGCTGCCTCGCTGTGTCTGCGTTTCCTACGCTCCGTATCATTGATTGCTTCGGGTGTGGGGGGACAGGAGGGTTACCTGATGGAATAACTCTCTCTTCACCGATTCCTTGTTGTAGACTATTGGGGAGAGTCTTATTACAGTGACCTCATCGACTTGCATCTGGGTGGTATGTATGGCAGCATCCGCGCTGACACTAACCCCGCTGACACCCTTTCTCCACCCGCGCTTCCCAGCCCCTGCTCACAAAAACAAGGAGAAATCAACCCAGTAACCAAATGGCAAAAGCACAGACCCTTTTCCAGCTCAAAACAGCAGCGTGCTGATCTCCCCGCTGCCCACATGTGCTCTAGAGGAAGATCTGAGCTTGCTTTTGCTGCCTGGGGTCGTTTTCATTTTTTATGATAAAACTTTGCCCACCCCACTCTGAGGCCAGCCTTGCGTCTGCATCCTGGTCCCCTGAATACACACACTCCAACACAGCTTTTGCCCTGAATCTCATCCCTCACTGCTTGTAGGAGTCATATCTGCTAGGGAGCTCACTGCCTGCCACCCTTACGCAGAGAAGAAAACACGCCAAGATCTCAGCCTGACCATTTCCACTGGGGTGTGCTCTCATTTCTCCCCGAAGAGCCGAGTGCCAGGGAAAGGCTTCTGTTTGTGATTTCTGCCCAGATTCACCAGACTCAAAGCCAGGTTGACAGGTGCCCATAACAACATCCCTCCCTCCTTGCTCTGTCCTGGGGCTCACTTTGTACTTCTTTTCAGTGAAGACAGGAAAAGCTCAAGGCCATGGTTCTCACAGTGTGGTCCCTGGACCAGCAGCAGCATCACCTAGGGGCTTGTTAGAAAGGGACAGCCCTGCCCCAGGCCTGCAGAATCAGAAACTCTGGGGTGAGGCCTGGTTATGTGCTGTCACAGACCTTCCAGTGGGTTCTGATGCCCTCTAGAGCAGGAGAACCACTAGCTTAGAGCTTGCAGTATGTTTGGCATCTTGCCATTTGTACTAGTTCAGAGGAATGACTGATCCCTGTGTCTCATTTCTAAGCTTTGGGCAGCTTTTCCCTGGGCAGCTGCCATTGTGTCGAGGGGAATGCTGGGGGCTCTGGCTCCTCCTCCCTGTCCCTGTGTACTTGATATGGCAGTCTGCCCACTTCATCTCCCCGTGGAGGCTCCATGCCTAGAGGTGGCCTTCAAACAGAAGAATGGCAAAGATCATTGTCTCATGTTTTACCCTGACCCCATTCTTTTAAGAGGGTCACTTCTTGGCCCATTCATTTAAAAACCAATGTCATAATTCTGTGATTCCACCTATCAGACAGTGCCACATCCAAGGCGGGGCTCTCGCCTCCCTGGGAAGATAGACTGTTGCTGTCTGTGCTTCCTATGTTCTCCGATCCCGCGCTCCCACGCACCCACCCCCTTGGAGACTCCATCGGTGTCCCAGGGCTTCCGGTGTGTTCCCGGACCTCCACACTCAACGGCCACTGGTGCTGCAGAAGGGCCGGTGCTTACATTCCAGTTAACAGACCCTTTTCCCGTCTAATGCCTCTTGCCTCCTCCTAACATCACCTCGGGAGTGTTCATGTCCATGCTAAGCAAATTTCCATGTGTGAAAAAATTCACACCTGTTATCCCAGCAATTTGAGAAGCCAAGGCAGGTGTATCATTTGAGCCCAGGAATTTGAAACTAGCCTGGGCAAGATGGTGAAACCCCGTCTCCATAAAGAAATTTTCAAAATTATCTGGGCATGGTGGCGCGTGCCTGTAGTTCCAGCTACTAGGGAGGCTAAGGTGGGAGGATGACATGAGCCCAAGAGTTTGAGGCTGCAGTGACCTGTGATTGCACCACTGCACTCCAGTCTGGGCAACAGAGCAAAACGCTGTCTCTTAAAAAAAAAAAAAAAAGAAAGAAAAAAAGATTTGTTTACATTCAGAATCTCTTGGAAGGGGCTGTCAGAACGCATTTCTTTAGGATTGTATCCACCCTTCCCTCGCAGTTCAAGACGCCATTAACACACCCATCAACACACCCATCGCATCTCCTGCTTTGTTTTTTGTTTTTTGTTGGTGGTGTTTGTTTTTTGAGATAGAGTCTCGCTCTGTCACCCAGGCTGGCGTGCAGTGGCACGATCTGGCCTCACTGCAACCTCCGCCTCCCGGGTTCAAGCGATTCTCCTGCCTCAGCCTCCCAAGTAGCTGGGATTACAGGCGCCCACCACCCCACCCGGCTAATTTTTGTATTTTTAGTGGAGATGGGGTTTCACCATGTTGGCCAGGCTGGTCTCGAACTCCTGACTTCAGGTGATCCGCCTGCCTCAGCCTCCCAAAGTGCTGGGATTACAGGCGTGAGCCACCGCACCTGGCCCGCATCTCCTGCTTTCTTTACCCGCCTTGCTTGAGAAGAGGTAGTGAGCTGCTTTCTCCTCTGGGTCCCCAGACTCCAGCTACTAGCTTTTTGGATTTAGAATTCCAACAAGTTCCAGGAGGAATTGAAGTAAATAGAAAAAGGAAACTCAGGGTGCCTTGTGAAGTACAGCGCCCCACCACTGACACTCATAACCCTTTGGAGGTGAGCACGCCAGCCCATCACTTCCCCTTTCCCAGACCGTTATGCTGCGTAAATTCAAGCCTTCTTGGGTTCTGCTCACCACATGGGGGCTGCTGCTAGAACGGGACATTCCCCTCTGCAGGGAGTCTCTTGTGGACTTCAGGCCCTGTTCTCGCCACGCCCGTGAGGATGACGGCAATGCCAGAATTAGGTTTCTTTTCTGTTTCTGCTGTTTCATTCTTGGAGCACTTGGTAATATTCGTTAATTGAAAGGAAAATCACCCTTTTGAGATCTGGAGCCTCATACGTGAAACCTGGTTGCCCCTCTGTGCCTGCATCCCCAAAAGGCCACCCCGAAGCCCCATTTCTGTGCCATAGCACCCGTCTCATTTCTCCTGTGGGCAGAGCAAAGCTCCAAGCAGCCCTCAGAGCGTGAGGAATGCCACCTCCTGCCCAGAGGGGCCGACTCCTACCCCCGCCCTGTGCTCTGCGTGTCATACTCCAGGCTCTTTCAGTGGTTCTCAGTGAACTACCTAAAGGCTCTGAAAGTCTCTTTTTTCAGCCACAGAGTATAAAGAATGAAAATTTCCCTTCTTCGTATAGCTGGACCTTGTGATTTCCAAAGAAATCATTAAAAAGACTCAAAACAACCTTTGGGCCAGAGAGGAAGGGTCCCCAGGTGGCCACTCCCCTTCTGCCTTCTTCCCTGGGACCCTGAACAGGCCCAGCCCAGCCTGCTCTATTGCACTAGAACAGACAGATGACTGGAAATCTAGAAGAAAACCACATTTCTTCTAAAACCGATTGAAAATACACACACATAATTTCTAGTTTTTGGGGACCTCATCTCTTGATTTATGTATCTCAAAGGAAAATTTAAAGAACACGAAAGGTTTAGAAATGTAACATGAAGGACTGGAGGGTGGCCTCTTGCTATTGTGAGATGGGGGTGCAGGGGTGCCTGCCCCTTGCCCTTCTGAGCAACCATCTTCCTGTTGTGTCTGCTTCTCTGAGTTTCATGTTGATAGATTCTTGGTTTGCCTGACCAGTCCACCGTCAGCCTGGCTCTGCTTTGCTTAGGAACTTTGGAACCTGCGCAGTTTCCCAACATACATATGTGTGTGTATGTGTGTGTGTGTCTGTGATTGTAATTCTTACATGCATTTGTTTGGTTTTTTGCTTTCACTTTTCCTCCCAACCTGGAGCTTTATCTCTGCACTAAGTCTGTGTAGCGCCAGGCGTCTCCCAGCCCCGCTGTGTGTATGCTAGACTGGGACTGCCGAACCGGCCTCACCCTGTCATGACAGCTGCTCGCACGTCTGCAGTATTGCACACCAGCCAACTGGGACCCCTGTCAGGGCCATGGTGTTTGTCGTCACTCAAGGTTTTAGACTGGACCTCAGCCTTGCAGTGCCAAGGCTGCCCCCGGCCAGGAGCATGGCACTGGTGGTGCCCACCAAATAGGCTTCCTGAGCTGGGGACTCAGAATAGCCGAGTGCCTTCTTAGTCAGCAAAACATTTGGTCAGTCTTTCCTCACACTTCCCAGGCTGCATAACCTGAGCAAGGCAGAGCGGAAAATCTGTGGCGGCCCCATTCCATAAACCTGAGCCGCCAAGGAATTCCAGCCCTGAGCACTTTGCTTTCTGAAAGTTTTTGAGACAGGGTCTGGCTCTGTCACCCAGGCTGGAACCTACCCAGTGGCGCCATCTCAGCTCACTGCAACCCCCACCTCCCGGGTTCAAGCAATTCTGCATCAGCCTCCTGAGTAGCTGGGACTACAGGCGTGCGCCACCACACCCGGCTAATCTTGTGTTTTTAGTAGAGACAGGGTTTCACCATGTTGGCCAGCCTGGTCTTGAACTCCAGACCTCAAGTGATCCACCGGTCTCGGCATCCCAAATGCTGGGATTACAGGTGTGAGCCACTGCACCTGGCTGCTTTTTGAAAATTTAATCCAGTCAGTTGGGCATAGCCGTGACAAGTAATTCCCCTGGTGTTTCCTAGAAAAAGGTGACAAAAGCTCTTTGGTGTCTGTGACAGGAGTTAGATAAAAAGGCATTGCTCCAACACTGTATTTATCATAATATTTGTTATTATTTATAGTGGTATTATATTTAGCAGTCAGTACAGTGGCATTACCGCCAAAATAAGTGTGAGAAATGGGAGTCCACCCTGGTAAGTAAGGGCTGCACACGGCTGCCCAGAGAGGAAGGAAAGTGGGGCCTCAAAATATGCCTGAGAAGTAAGTGAGCCGCTTTCCTGTTCCCGACGCCTTGGAGTGTGATCCTCAGAGACCAAAAGGAACTGAAAACCAAAAATGATCTCTGTCTATGCAGGATGTTCCAAAAGTGTGGCTGAAAGGGGAAGACGCTAACCTTGGGGCTCTACGGAGTTTGTGTGCATGAAACACACAACAGCGTATCAGAAGGGAGGGTGTGGGGCCAGCCTCTAACGCTTGAAAGGCTGGTGTTCTAAAGCACTTGCAAGCTGATTATTTGGAATTCTGTATTTTCATGTGGAAATACAGTTGTAAATGGTGGCTCAGTTCATAAAAAGCCCATTTTCCTCATTACACCTCTGTGTATGGTACTAGTCTGGTGACATGCCACAACCTAACCCATGTTCCCTGGGGAAATGCAACATTCCAGGCTGGGACCTCTGGGCTCTAGAAGTCTCCCTAGTGGGCCCTCGTTTGGTCTGCTGAACACTGGTTTAGGGACCTCCCCAGCTCTGTGGTGATGGTGCCTTTGTCCAACCAGGGGGAGCTGGGAGCCTGTCTAGTGGGCAGAGACGGATACTGAGATGAGGCCGGTCCCTAGGGCCAGTTGTTCCGCAACCTTGGAGAACAGGCCACCGGCTGGCCTGCCTGCTGTGGCTGTGCACACCTCTGCTTCCCGACAGAAGCTCTTTCCTGCTTTGACTGCCATGTGGTTAGCATTGGTGGCTGGTGCATTTGGGGTGCTCAGTAAACATTTCTGGTATAAATGATTAGTCGCCCACATTGGCCTTACCACAAGCCATGATTCATGTATGACATTTCTGTTTTTGATATCAGCATCCATGTAGAAGCCAGTGGGTTAAATATAACCAGGCAGAATTGAAGGATGGAGTTGGAAATGCAGAGCGTCAAGCCAGCACCCACCACCACACAGGTTGTCACTGGTGGTTGTTGGGATGTGAACAGAGTTGGGCCTTTGTCTTGGCCTCTCTGGGTATTACTTACTTATTTATTTTTTAGAGAGAGGGTCTCACTCACCCAGGCTGGGGTGCAGTGGTGCAATCACGGCTCTCTGCAGCCTTGACCTCCTGGGCTCAATCAGTCCTCCCACCGTAGCCTCCTGAGTAGCTGGGACTATGGATACTCACGCTACCACCCCTAGCTAATTTTTGTAGAGACAGGTTCTCACTGCATTGCCCAGGCTGCTCTCAAACTCCTGGACTCCAGCAGTCCTCTCACTCTGGCCTCCCGAAGTGCTGGGATCACAGGTGTGAGCCCCCGCACCTCCGAGCTTTCTGACCATATCCTCACCAATCCTTGCGAGCAAGGCACTCAAGCTTCTTGTCCCCCAGTCTCAGGGCTATGGCTCTTGGATTTTGAGTACCAGAAGGACTAGAGTAGGCCCTGCCTGCCTGTCAGATGACCATGGAGGCTCAGTGTGCGGGCTCATCTGCTGGCCTGTTTTTCCAGCTGCCCAGGTGTCTTGATGCAGTGTGCAAAGGTGAAGAGTCTTGGTTGGAGAGAACGCGGGACTATAGAAGGACAAGTACAGAGAAGGGGACCTGCCCTATGGCTGGCCACTCTTTCCCCCACCCTGTCGGCCGTTCTACCCCACACTGGGTCCTGGGTCCATGAGAGGCAGGGCTTGGAGTGAGGTGCTCAGGTGCACTCAGGGACAGGTGGTAGTGTAGGGGGCACCCCGACTGAGGAATGCCAGGCCTGGATTCAGGTCCTGCCTTCACTATCTCCCCAGGCACAGACAAAACAGCCTCTACTTACCCTCTCAGGGCCTCTTCAGAAGACGAGGCAGGAAGGGACATCGGGCCTCCCTTCCGGGTGTGACATTCTGATCAGAGTCTGTGGGACTGCTCTTCCTTGAGCTGCCTGAGACGCCAGCATTTGTTAGATTTGCCTGGAGCCCGTGTTGGCCTTAAAGAGGGCAAGCTCTGAGTTCAGAGTGGGCAAGAAGATTTGGCTTCTTTTCCAGGCTCTGCCATACTTAACTCCTTTGAGCCTCAGAACCCTCATTTGAATTCGCCCCTCCCGGCAGCCACACCTGGCCGGTGTGAGGATGAGGATCATGTGGGTGGTGCGTGCGAGGGCCCCTTGAAACCAGAGAGTGCCGTCTCTGCTCATCTCACGCACCGCTCTGGACAGGCCTCCCTCCCTGGTGGTGTATTGTTGCTTTTTGAAATCTGGTGACAGGCACTGCCTGCCCGCCACGGGTCAAGCGAGTGGCACTAAACAGCCAACCCCAGGTCACACGTCCAAAGGAAGTGCTGCTTCAGAGGGAAGGATGGAGCAGATGTGCCCACGAGTGTTGGGTACTCAGCAGAGTGCTACAGGGAGGAGGGGTCCTCTGACCAGGACCCGCTCACTGCTCGGGAGCTCGGGAGGGGTGGCCGGCGTCCAGGGCACGCAAGAGTGTTTTGAGAAGTGGTAAATTGTAGCACCTGTTAGCAACAGATGGAAACCCGTTACCCTGATGTTAAGAAAAACCAAAAAACTTCCATTTGCCATAAGCTTGACAGCATCTTTGTTGTTAGAATCAGTGAACCAAATCTTCTGTTTCTTACATCCCCTAAAAGGCAAAGCATTTCCTATAACCCCCCACCCCGGCCCCATGCACACTCAGGTCGGGTTCCAGTCGGGTGGAACTCCCCTTGTTTGATTGGTTTTTCCCTTCCACTTCTTCTTTTGAAAATTGTATTGATAGGGCGTTTTTTCTGGTTATAAAAGTAGCCTCGTTCGTTGTGGAAGTGGTGGAGCGTACAGGGAAGTCCGAAGGTAATCAGTGCAGCGTGGACTCACCGCCACTGACACGCGCTTCCGCCTCTTGCTAGGAGAAAGCCTTTTTGGTTTCTTTAAATGCTTGCTTTACCTGATGCTCCCTTTCCCTAATTTCATTTCGTAATTTCTGTTCCCAGTACTCTGTTATATTGTCCTCTGTATTGGGAAGGGCGTATGCGGATGTGGCCTACAGAAAAACAGCTGAAAGCTGTATTTTGTGCTGTCCAGAAAGCAGAAACACATGTTGTAATGTATACCCGTGCAGGCGCCTGCCCCTTCCTTTTGGATGTGTTGTGGACGTGTATCACATAGGCGCTGTTCCACTCCACAGCGTGGCCTATTCACCTGTGACACCAGTCGCAGGAGGTGGCAGGGAGTGTGCACGGACGTATTTGATGGGATTCATCCAGGTGTTCCAAGCCTCAACGCAGACTACACTTGGCAGCCGAGGTTGACTGTAGGTCGGCTGTAAGGCAGAGAATATTGTTGCGGAAAGAAACCCTCCCTCGCACCCATGCGTTGGGCTGGCTGTGCCGTGTGTATTGAGCACACTGGGTACAGTCAGCATTTCACACGCATGCACGCTGTCCCTGGCTTTGCTTTCGAAGTTGTACCCAATAGCAGATTCAGTGTGCCCACAGCACTGTGCACCACACTGGAAGGGTTCAAAGGCAGAAAACACCTGTATTCATGCAGCGGCACCGCAGAGGGGCCTCCCAGCCAGCCGTTTGTCCTGTTGGCCTTCTGTTGAGTCAAGGCCATTTCTTCAACCCTGTTCTCTGTAAACCACACACTGCCCTCCCCGTGGGCCGAGGCCCCGTGTCTTCCTGGGCTCTGTTGTCCCTGTGTGTGCTCTGTGGTTCTGTGATGGTCCCTTGCCAAACTCCTCTCCCTCGTCCTTGAGTAGGCATGAGACCCCAGATCTAGAGATGTGTGTGCACACTGGCTCTCGGTGCCCCGCCAGCACTCCTCCCAGCATCGTTCCTGTAAGTTTCGGCATGTCCTGTCAGCCCACCCCTTTGGTCTCACAGTCCAGAGTGTGGCAGCCCCCAGCTGCAGCATGAGGTCCCCGCACAGCCATAGAAGGACCAGAAGGAAGAAGGGGGTGGCTGGCTCTCCCCGTGCCTGGGGGAGAGAGGGGACAGTGACACGGACGGGTGGAAGTCACCTCTGTGTGTGTACGTTTCCCCAAAATTGTTCTGGCTCAGAATTTGAAGCAGCGCCAGGTGTGAGCGTCCTGGAGGCCCATCGCAGAATGGGGTGCTGCCCCCACAGACTCAGAGGCCCCCCTTGCCCTGCACTTATCAAGGCCAGCTTTGCCTCAAGCACATACCTGTGGTGACATCTTAGAGGATTCCACGTGGGTCTGGGAGGTGACCCCAGGTTGTCACTTGCAAGCCTGGAAGCCGTGTTGGCCACTTACTGAATGCAGCCTGTCTGAGAGCCAGGCAGACCTATCCAGGGGCTTCGAGGAGGGGGCCCAAGGCCCCAGAGGCCACTGTATGACAACCCAGATGCCACTGCCCTCCTGATAAGGAGTAGAGGCGGGAGGGCCCTGTGGCCCGACTGCTGCCATCATGTAGGGAACACGTCATCCCTCTTGGAGGAACTCACACCGCTGCTCTGAGCCCACGCCCCGTCTGTGATGCTGCCCGGAGCTGGGTCTGCTCTCGTTCAGTTCCATGCTGAAAAAAGGACTTAATTCATTTGTAGACTTTGTTTCCCTTGTTTCTGCTTCTCCATTTCTTGTATTTTTTTCTTTTCCTCCTGTTGTTCCTTTCTCACTTTTTATGCTTTTTGTCCTCTGCTTGTTTTTATTCCACCTTCTCCCTGTCCCTCTCCACTTCCAAATTCCTGCTCCTCTTCTCCTCTTCCTTCTTGTCTTTCTCCGTCTCCTCCTCCTCTTCCTTGTTTGGTCCTTTTGAAGTTGAGCCCAGTGGCGGGACTCCACGACGTAGACCTCTCTCCTTCTGCCCTTGCTGTGTCCAGGAAGGTAACGTAACCTCGCCAACCCCATCCCCGCTACCTCGGAGGGGGTGTAGCCACAGTAGTCAAACACAGAGCCAGAACCCACCTACCTCTCTCTTTCTCTCTCTCTCTCTCTCTCTCTCTGACCCTCAATGGTCCTGTTACAAAATGTCATGAGTCTGTGGCAGTTTCTAAAGGTACAGTATCCCTTTGACTGTCTATGGGGAGGACCAGGGTGCAGAGTGAAGCCAGAGAGCCTCCAGGTCTGGGCCCTTCAGGGCTGCAGCATTGGCTGGCCTTTCATGGCTGGGGCCTTTAAGTCTCAGATCCAGATAGAGGGGCAGGGAAGCAGGTGAGGAGCCTCCCGCCTGTGTGCAGCGATTTGGATGGGAGCGTCAAGGAATACTGTCCTTACAAAGACTGGTCTACACAAGCGCCCTCGGGCCCCTTTCCAAACCACCACTGAAAGCAAACCTCTCTACCTCGTGTCTTGCCGAGTGTGTGTTTTTTAAGTTTGTCTGATTTGAAGTCTGTTGTGGTGATAAGATTGTCGTTGAAAGGCATGTGGGGGGTGTGGCCATGACTAACCCTGCTAACTCTTACCTGCCATCCACAGCGCTCACCCGACTCTCGCCCACACACCACAGCCCCTGCCTGGCGGCCGTGGGCGAGCTCGCCGTAGCTAGTGAGCGCTGTCCGCACGTCTCCAGTGGCATTTTCTGTGTCTTCGCGGGGAGGTGGGCAGCGGGAGAGTCTCCCTGGTGCCGCCGCGGCCGGGCGCACTGGACAGCTTGCATGCCGGGGCCCCTCCTCCACGGCTGTGTGGGCACATTGTGCAGAGACGCTCCGAAAGCAGTGCATGGAACTGAGTGGGGACTGGCTTAAAAGCCAAGACCCAAGCCTATTGGATTGGGTGAGGAGAGCGCTGGTCCCCTGACCCTCAGGCAGGCACTCCACAGTCGCGGGCTGGACAGGCCGGGGGGTTTCGTCCTTCAGATGAGGCTCAGGGGCAGGAACCCCCTTGGGAGCAGAACCGCATGGGCACTAGGGCACGGTACAGACACTAACCCCTGCTTGTTGAACATAGTGCATTTCTGCCTCCTCGGTGTGGCCACTGGGTAGAGACTAACTGTCTAGCAGACACCATGCAGATAAGAGATGTGTCTGTGTACCATGTGCCAGAAAGGCAGCTAGCAGTGAGGGAGGGCTCGGGCTGTGGCTGGCCCTTCAGAGGCTGTGTTCCTCACACTCCTGGGCTTGTCTTAACTGGCCTAGAACACACTCTGCCAAGCGACGCAGAGAGTGCAGGGGCCTCTGAAAGATGTCCCCGTCTAGTGCCCCTTAACCTGAGGCCCACGGATGGGCCGCAGGAAGCCCAGGAGCAGCCTGGAACTCCGCATCAAATGGTTTGCTCTGCACATGTAAGCATTTTTCTAGGAAGAGAGTCCCTAGCTTTTATGAGATTCTCAAAGTGGTTTGTATTCCAAAAATATTGAAGAGCCACTGACACAGCATGTATTTTAGGCGGGACCACACTTTTACCATGAACTTCCGTGCTCCAAGGAAAAGGACCTTGTTCCCTCCTTGGGTGGCCTGGTCCTTTGGAGACTTCTTCCTTCTGTCCTCCTGCCACAGTGAAGCCAGCGGTCAGGCCGCCCCGGGGGAGGTTTGGTATGGGCACCTGTTGGTTCAGGCAGCCTGAGCTAGCAGGCAGCCACCAGCCACAGGCATTCTATTGGATGGACCAGGGCAGGGCGTGGCCACCTCCTTCCATCCCCAGGGGCTGCTAGTGTTTCTCTGCTCTTGGTGAGAAACCCGGTGGCCATCCTGAGATCCCTACGTCGACCACGAGGGCTCCCGCGGGAGGCATCTGGAAGCTTGATAGGCCACAAGTTAAGGGGTAGTTTCTTCTCTGCCTGGTCAGGAGGTAAACAAATGACAAGGCATCTATTCTGGTAGCCCCTGGAGAGGGGAGTGGCCCAAGAAAGAGCTGAGTTAATGAGCATGATCTGAGGGCGGGGTGCAGTTTACAAATTCACTTTGCATTGTTTCCCAGAGTGGTTTCCTCCAAGGAGACCTAGCACATGGCAAGTGCTAAATAAACATTGAGTGGGAAGAAAGAGGGAAAGCGACATAAGTCATCCTAGGAGAGCACAGGGAGCAGGAGAGGCAGAAACCAGCCCCGGGGAGGGCAAGGTCCCCACTGGCGAGGTCGCTGACGGGGGAGCAGGGATGGCAGGACACGGGGAAGCGCAGGCCCCGGGGAGGGGTCGCCGGGGCACCAGGGCTGCAGGCAAACCTTGGGCCTGGCTTGGGAGTGGAAGTTCCGGCAGCATCTTGCTCGGCCCTCTTTGCACATTTGCCCCGTGTGATTCCTGCGGGCCAGGGTGGGCACGGCACTCCCTGCACCCGACACGAATGTTCCCTCGGCAGGCATGGGCAAGAAGGACGACCCCAAGCTGATGCAGGAGTGGTTCAAGCTAGTGCAGGAGAAGAACGCCATGGTGCGCTACGAGTCGGAGCTGATGATCTTGTGAGTGGCCTTGGGTAGGGGGTGTCGGTGCCATGCTTGTCACAGCAGGCATGGAGGTCCTTCCGGATTTGGGGGTGAGGGGTGGTCCCCAGTCACTGTGGCTTATCTCCCTCCTGCCCTCCCTCCTCAGTGCCCGGGAGCTGGAGCTGGAAGACCGGCAGAGCCGACTGCAGCAGGAGCTCCGGGAACGCATGGCAGTGGAAGGTGAGTGGGGTGAGGCACCCATGGAGCCCAGGGTGGGTGCCACCTCCACGCCCCTCACCTCATGCCTTCTTCTCCTTCAAGATCACCTTAAGACTGAGGAGGAGCTGTCTGAAGAGAAGCAGATTCTCAATGAGATGCTGGAGGTGGTGGAGCAGAGAGACTCACTGGTGGCGCTGCTGGAGGAGCAGCGGCTCCGGGAGAGAGAGGAGGACAAGGACCTGGAGGCTGCCATGCTGTCCAAGGGCTTCAGCCTTAACTGGTCCTGAGCTCACACCCAACGCTCCATTTTCTGTTGGCATCCGCCTGGCCGGGTAGTGGCCTCCAAACCACCTGGAGCCGCGATCTGAGGAGGCCTGGCACCTCCTTGGAGTTTACGCTCAGATGCCCGTGTGCTGCTTGGAAAGTGGTCGAGTCCCGCGTGCAGTGGGGAGCCCCAGGGGACAGTGGTTATCTGAGATGGCGCCACCTCCTGGGAGGAGGCCCACCTGGACCTGCCGCTCAGAGGAGGAGCACGGTGCGTATGGCATGACGCAGGGGACCACCCCGCACGCCCCCTGAGGATGTGCCGGCTGTGCCCCTTTCTTCCACTGGCACATTTGGTAAGGGAGGGAAGCTGCTCCCGTCAGAACCACAGTGCGCCACCACAGCCTGCGAGGGGCACTGTCTTCTTCATGCTCCCTGGAGCACCACCAAAGAGACGTACACAGTACCCCACGAAAGCAGGGTGCGATTGAGACCCGGGATGGGGAGGTGTCCAGTCATGCCCACCCCAGCATCACAGGAGACACGGAGGTGTGGGCAGGCTCCGGAATTGATTATGCAAATTAGGAGGACACAGGCGGGATCCGCTCTCCCGCCGAACACCACACACTGGACCCTAAGTGGCCAAATGCCGGGGCCTCTCGCTGGCTGCGGCCTGAGGCCTGTGGGTTGCTGCATTTTGCTTGTAGTTCACCACCATTTTGACACTGGAAAATGCTGACTTTGGGGGACAGGATGAGGCCCTACATTCTGCACCCCCAGTTGGCAGACAGGCATTGTCCCTGTTCCACATTGATGTCGGGGCAGGAGGCGGCCTCTTCCTCGGTGTTTTTCCTGTGTTTGCACATTGAAATGAAGCTGACAACCTGGCAGGACACTCAGCCGCTTCAAACCCTTTTTGTCAATTAACTTATTTTTTTAATACTTGAAAAGAAGTAACTTGGTTTGTATATCTTTACTAGAGACACTGATCACTTGATGCCCGGGTGCGGGAGCCACAGCGGCGTCTGCTGCGTCCCACGCAGCCTGGTCCGGGGCTGCCCAGCGCTCGCCACGTGCATCTATTTATTAGCCTTTCTCTTCGTATCACTGGCCTGGCTGGCATCAGGGAGCTGCCCAGGACCCCCGTTGGGTCCTGCTCACAGCTTTCTGTCCCCTCCTGCACCTGGTGCCTGCCTCACCCTGGTCTGGACCGCTCACGTGATGAGGGGGCATCTCCGTTCTGTTTTGGACCAAGCTAACAGCAGAGCTGCCACTCTCACCCTCCCGATGAGAATTCTGGCTCTGCAGAACTCACCCTTTTCTCAGTTTGGGTGCCAGGGCATCACCTTCCTCCACACGTGTGTTAAAGAAGGTTTCAGGATGGGCCCTCGTCCACACTGGCCAAGAGGGTGCAGGGTGGGACCCTGGAATCGTGGCTGGTGAAGTCCCTCCTCCCAGCCTAAGATTCACCCAGACGGAAACGCGAGAGCTGTAGTGGATGCTGGGATGCAGGCTGGCCTCTCTCGAGCAGATAAGAGACTCCCACCCTCCCTCCCTCCCTCCCAAGGGCGACGAGCACCTGCCTTGTGCCGGATCTTCATGGGGCCATAAAGGGTGGCAAGCCCCGAATCACTAGCTCCTATAGCCAAACCGTTCCTTTCTCACGGTTCTGCACCAGCCTGGCTGTGTACAGCTCATCAAGCCACTGAGCTAATCGGGGGTGGGGTCCTTGTCCATCAAAGCAGTTAGCGCATAGTCCAGCCAGGAGCCCCCCGGGCTAGACCCACCTGCCCCTAGGGGTGCTTCAGCCGCCTGCCGCCTCCCTGGGCTGGGGCCAGCTGGGAGCAGAGGCCTGGCGCCTCCAAGGCATCCCGTAGCGGAGCAGCCCGAGGGGCTGTGCTGACCTTGGGCTTTCCATGGGAACCACACTGTGCCTCAACTTGAACATTCATCCCAACTGCAAAGGAGCAAAGAACCTGTGTCATCCCTGTCCGGAAGCTGCCATCTCTCTCCCGTGCACATCCAGGAAGTACGCTGCTAGTGGCCGCCATAGCTCTGATTCTCCTCCACCTGCTCTCACGTGAGGCAAAGGTCTCCTTTTCTCTACTTAAAAAAGGGGAGAGGAGGGTTCCTAGATTCCATCTTCAAACCCCAGTCTTCCCATAAAATTGGATGTGGGAAAAGACCTTCACTGCGGTGTGGCCTGTCCCAGACCTCTCCTATCGAAGGCCACAAAACCAGTCCAGGCCCGGCAGAGCCGCCTTTGGCCCTTGTAGCTCCTGCTGGCCCCACAACGGGGAAGCAGTTTGCAAAGTGGCTCGGAAGGAGTGTGGCCTAGGAATCTGCTACAAGTGGCTGGGTGTAGCAGGAGAGCCCAGCGTCACCTCCTGGTCCTGGTCAGCCTTAACACTGTGGCATCCTCCGCAGCACACACAGCGGCCTGCAGTCTGGAAAGCGGACCTGAGCCTTTGCAGAAAGGCGCCATGGAGCCGCAGGCCCGCACAGCAGCCCCAGCCTCCCACTCCTGACTGTGAGGACATCAGTTCTAGGAGAGCACTTTCTTTAAAGCTCCCATTTTGTAACCACTCGTTTGCAGTTGACTTGAGTACTCTGGTGACTTGCTGCGTGAAGCGATCTCCAGGCAGGTTTTCTTTCCAAGAGTTAAGTCTTCCCTTGAAGGCAGGGAAGCAGGATGGATACACATGTATCATACACATAAAGTACCAGGCGCAGGAGCAGCCCGAACTCGAGGCTGACTAAACTGGAGGCTGCACTGTGGAGGTCTGCATGCAGCCTCCCTGGAGGGCAGGGAGGGGGCGCTCCCGCCCCTGGGCTTGAGGGTGCCGCTCCCCATGGGCTTCCAGGCCTGCCCAGGTGATGCCTTCAGGCCTTTGCCCCTGGCGGCCATCCTCAGGCCGATTTTGACCAGCAATGATAGACTCTTCTTAACCCTTTCAAAAAATTTTTTTCAGTGGGACAGGAAGGAGAGTTAAAAAACATTTTTTTAAAGGTGGTAACATCTGACCCATGAAGGGTATGGGTCTGTTTTACGCTAAATAAACGTTTTTCAAAGAAATAGTGTGTTTCTTACGCCATTGTACTGTATTTTTCAGGTGGATGGTGTAGGTACAAGGTATTATACATCTAGCTTTTGCCTGGGTGTGTGCAAGACTGTTTAAAGAATGCATCTTTTTTTTTTTTTAAGTTTGTGCTTTTTTTAGTCCTCCATAATATCCTGGCTCAGCCACCAACTGCTGTCACTTGAGTAAATGTCTTAGGCAGCCAAGTTGGAGAAGCAGCCACTCTTCACACAAAGCCCCAGTAGCCTCTGGAAGAGAAGTGGGCTCTTCAAATTGGAGATACTCCAAGTCAGGGCGATGCTGTGGTCCTGGCAGCCCTCCTTCCAGCCCTGCCTGGCTCTGTCCTGCAGCACAGCTGACCCGGGAGCCCATGGCATGCGTGGGGTCTGCAGCACCCACGCCGAAACCTTTCAGATGTTTCAACAATCCCGAGGTCACTCAGTAGGGTCCCTCCTCTTTAGCCTGAAAATTGTCCCCAGGAGATGACAGGGAGCAGGAGGCCAGCTCCTCTTTGTTCTGAGAAGCCTCCGAGGCACCTCCAGCGCTCTCTCTAACCGCTCCCTTGGTGTGTTGCATTGTTGGGAGCATGGCTGGCCCCTGACAATCCAGAGGCACTGTGCGGGGAGGGAAAGACCGCAGCGGCTGTGTGCCCACCAGCCGCATCGCCCGCAGGCCGGCTGGAAGTCACGCGTGGAAGCTGGCTCCCAGTCCTTGCAGCTGCGTTCCCACCGATTCCAGAACAAAGGCCTGGCCGGGACACATGTGGGCATGTCGGGTAGGACAGAGAACAGAAATGAATGAGCAGCTCAAAGTGCATATCCTGTGACCCTAGAGAACATCCTGTGCGAAGAGAGCTGGGTCACTTGCCTGCTGGGAAAGGAAATGGGGCTTGGTAGTCACCTGACCCCCAGGCTCTCGTTCCTCAGAAGGGCTTGCTTGTCGGAGCTGCACCAGGCAGGCTTGAGCTGCAGTTCACGGCCACCTCAGGTAGCAGGAAAACGATGAGTGTTACTTTAGGGAGGACACCAGAAAGGAAGGCTGCTGGGCCAGGCCAGTGCCACTCTCAGAAGCACACGAAAAGGTCACACGCTGTGGCGCACGCCTGTAATACCAGCACTTGGAGAGGCCGAGGCAGGCAGATCACCTGAGGTCAGGAGTTCAAGACCAGCCTTGCCAATATGACGAAACCCCGTCTTTACTAAAAATACAAAAATTAGCTGGGTGCGGTGGCACACGCCTGTTATCCCAGTTACTGGGGAGCCTGAGGCAAGAGAATTGCTTGAACCTGGGAGGTGGAGGTTGCAGTGAGCCAAGATTGTGCCACTGCACCCTGGGCGACAGTGAGACTCTGTCAAAAAAAAAAAAAAATTATTTTAAAACAACACATAAGATGCTCTCCTTTCATGAACCGCCACATCTAACAGCTCCCGTGTCCCTCCTGAACCCTGAATCCTCACACAGTCCCGTCTTAACAATCAGCCAAAAAAGATGACAGGACAAGACGTGCCATTTTATTCCATTTTATAAGCTGGCCACACTGGCCCACGTACTAGACCCTCTCCACTTCGTGACCCCTGCTCGGATGACCCTCCCCAGTGATGCCCAGTGAGGAGGGTGAGAGGTCATACTACCCAAACACTGGTTGGGGACCGGAGCCACCTGCCACACAGCCCAGGAGCCTGTGAGACCAGGCCTGTGGCCCCTTCAACAGCCTGTGGCTGCTCGGCTTCATCAGGAGCTTTTTCAGCAGCCCCCTTGTGTGCCCCCTGTCCCAAGCAAGGTCTTCCTGCTGCTGGGGCTTTGCTGGGGAAGGTGGACTCCAGTTGCTGTGGGTAGGCCACGTGTGCTGCACCCACAGACCCTTTTCTGCCCGCGTGGCCTCCAAGCCACAGAGGGCACATCCAGTACTGGAGCAGGCTGGGTTCCAGCCGTGGGGGCCAGGGCGGGGTGGCCCAGGACTAGGTGGACAGGGCTGAGGGCCTCCCTGCACAGTCAACACCTGGACCGTAGTGAGGCTGCCAGCACTGCGTGGTCCTCAAGCCAGGGGCAGCATCCTCTGGACCCAGTGGGTGCGTGTGGAGCCACCTCGCGCAGCTGTGTGACACGAGACCGACTGCAGCTGCTGGTGTCTGCCCACCTGCAAGAGGGCGGCAGGGAGCACAAGTTAGGTGAGCACCAGCTCAGGGTCCTGGCGGGATATGTTTCTGTCTCTTCCCCTGGCGTCAGCCTGGTCACATCGCTCACCTGGCCGGTACCTCAAGTTCTTCCCACCAACTTGGGACTGGTGACCAACTTAGGATGAGGGAGCACATAGGAAACCTGGAGGTTCTGGAGTCGGGGCCCATGCAGATGCATAGATGCCTCGTGATGAGAGAACCCTATGGCCGGGTGCAGTGGCTCAAGCCTGTAATCCCAGCACTTTGGGAGGCCGAGACGGGCGGGTCACGAGGTCAGGAGATCGAGGGACCATTCCTGGTTAATCACGGGTGAACCCACGGTCTTGCTTACTAAGAAAATACAAAAAACTAGCCGGGCGAGGTTGGCGGGCGCATGTAGTCCAGCTACTAGGGAGGCTGAGGCAGGAGAATGGGGTGAACCCGGGAGGCGGAGTTGCAGTGAGCTGAGATCTGGCAGCTGCACTCCAGCTTGGCGGCGATCAGAGCGTAGATCCATCTTCATTATTATATATTAAGAGAGACCCTTGCTTGTGTATTCGTGTTGAGCCCCCTGCAGCTCCAGGTCCAGCTCCTCCCCTTGTTTGTTCACGGAACTTATGTGCTCTGTGAGCAGTGTTCCCAGAGCGCTTTCGGGCAGCCCCGCGCGTTGCACCCAGCCACCCTCCAGAACCCAGTCAGGCGCGTCCGGACAGGCCATGGGTCCCTGAGTCTTGCACAGGGGCCATCATCAAGGCATGAGGGATGTTGTCCAGATGGATGCTGGCAGTGTCAGCGCTGAGAGACTGCTCAACCACAGGCGCCAGGTCCAGCAGGCGAGAGGAGCACTCTCAGGTGGCCAGCCCCGAATGGAGTGTCCTCTCCTGACTTGTCTTTTCTTTTTTTTTTTTTTTTTTGCGACGAGTTTTGATCTTGTTGCCCAGGTTGGAGTGTCAATGGCGCATCGATCTGCGGGTCACCCACAACCCCGCCCCGGGTTCAAGTGATTCTCCTGGCCTCAGTCCCGGCTGAGTAGCGTGTTAGCAGGCCGATGAGCAACCATGCCCGCGCTGTATTTTGTATTTTCTAGTAGAGGGGCGGTTATGTCACGTTGGTCAGGCTCGGCTGAACTCCGACCTCATGGTGATCCGCGCCACGCTGCGGTCCTCCAAAAAGGCTACACATTATGGGCATGAGCCACTGCACCCGGCCCAAACCTGCCTCTCTCGCCCTGGTGTCTCCCCAGCAAAGTGGCTGGCAGGTTCTTTGCTTTGGCGCAGAAAAGGAGAAAGAGGCACCTGGCAGCCATGCAGCTTCCCCTTTCCCTGGAGGGTGCTTACTTCTTTTTAAAAATGTTTTTACAGGCCGGGGCGCGGTGGCTCGGGCACCTGTAATCCAGCGCTTTGGCAGCCCTGAGGCAGGTGCGATGACGGAGTCAGGTGGATCGAAGACCATCCTGGCGTAACACAGTGAAACCCCATCTCTACTAAAAAACTACGAAAAAAAGCCAGGGGCGTGCGCGCGGTGGCGGGGGCGCTGTAGTCCCAGTACTCGGGAGGCTGAAGGCAGGAGAAGGCGTGAACCAGGAAGCAGAGCTTGCAGTGATCGACAGGGGAGACTCCGCCTCAAAAAAGAAAAGGTTTTTAGAGAATGGAAATACCTTTCAAAAATGGTATTCTCGGTGCCGGGCGCAGTGGCGTCAAGCCTGTGAATCCCAGCCAGCTGTTGGCAGGAGGTCCGAAGACAGAGCGGGACACGACGGTGCGGAGTCAGGAGATCAGACATCCTGGCGTACACGGGTGAACAACCCCGTCTTCTACTAAAGAAAATACAAAAAAAAAACTGAGGCCACGGAGCCGGTGGCGGGGCGCCTGTAGTCCTCAGCTAGCTCGGGAGCTGATGGCAGAAGAATGGGCGTAAACCCGGCCAGAGGCGCGGAGCTGTGGCAGTAGTGAGGATCCGGCCGCAGCTGCACTCCTAGCCTGAGGCGAGCAGAGCGCGAGACGTCGCTCCAAAAAAAAAATGTTATCTCGGACCAAACTTGTTCCCTCGGGGGGGCTGGGATGTGCCCACGACCAGGGCTCTGGGACGCCTCCTGCCCAGAGGGCTCTGGGATGCCTTCTGCCCGGAGGCCCAGCACAGGGACCACCTGCCCAGTCAGGCCACTTCAGCTGGCAGCTCCTGCGGGTCCCGGCTCCTCCACGGCCAGTCATTCTCGACCGACCCCACCCTCTGTGTCTGTAGCTACTCAGTTGCCGCTGCTGGCTGGTAAGAGAATTCTTCCTGTCCTTCCCCTGGTGTGGCCATGTATTTTGACAAGAAAAGACAAGCAGGAAAATTGTCTTTTTCCCCAAGCTTCTTGCCCCCGTCAAGGGCAGGCCTGCTCCCCCAGCATCTGCCAGTGCTTTTTTTTTTTTTTTTTATTGAGACGGAGTCTCGCTCTGTCGCCCAGGCTGGAGTGCAGTGGCCGGATCGCAGCTCACTGCAAGCTCCGCCTCCCGGGTTTATGCCATTCTCCTGCCTCAGTTTCCCGAGCAGCTGGGACTACAGGCGCCCGCCACCTCGCCCGGCTAGTTTTTTGTATTTTTTAGTAGAGATGGGGTTTCACTGTGTTAGCCAGGATGGCTGCCAGTGCTTTTTCATCTCGGAGCGATCGTGTGCGGCTAATGGGAGGGGTCGCTGCTGTTGGAGAGGGTGGGATGGGAGGAGTCTCAGAATCAAGATGCAGGGCAGGATCAGGGATGGAAAATCAGAAACTCACTTATTTCAAGCCAGGATTGTGATAAGAAGGACTTCGGTGAACAGCCCTAGGGCGAGGCCCACAAGCAGAAGCAATCCGATGGCACCAAAGAGAGCACCAGCCCCCAGAACCCTGCAGAGCCCCGAGCGAGGGGGGAAGGCCTGCTGGCGTTCCCAGGCACGGGCATCCTATCCCTGGCCCCAGGGAGGGTGTCGTCTCTGCTCCCACCAGGTCAACGTTTGGAAGAGGGTGAAGAACTTCGTGCATGAGACAAGGGGCATGAGAACAAGGTCCACCCCCAGCCTCCTCCCCCCAGCACCGTCCTCTCCTCCTCCCTGGAGAGTTCTCCAAGGCCCTGGGGAGAACTAAAGCACAGTCACGCTCTTGGCAAGGCACCGTGGCAGCAGAGCACGTAGGCGTAAGCACGCGCAGTAGAGAGGGGATTCGGTGTAGAGAAAGAGATTAAGCAGGGCTAAGGCAGTTGTAAACGTCATAATTTTGATGCATTTTCAGGTGCCAAAGAATCGCTCTTGGCTTTGAGAGCTGGATGGTGAGCTCGGCTGGGGCTGGGAGCCAGTGGCACGTGTACTATTGAAGCTGGCTTTCCCACACAGGGCCTGGGGTGGCAGCACCCCACTCGGGGAAGTCCTCGGGGTGGATCCACCATTCAAAACTTTTGATCCAACGTTCAAAACTGAGATACAGGCTAAGGATCCCTAACGCAGGACTGCCTTTGAGCATCATGTCGGCAAAGATTCCAAAATGAGAAAAACTGAAACATCTCTGGTCCCAAGCATTCTAGATAAAGGGATACGCACCCACCTGCAGCCCCTCCTTTCTCCATCAGCATCTCTAAAGATGATCCCAGGAGCCTTCCTCCCTCTCTCCGGGAAGATCCTTTACTGGAGGCCACATGCCTGTGAGAACCAAGCGCTAGACCAGGCCTCTGCCTGGCTGGCTGATGCTGGACGTGGCTCTCCAAGCCTGTTTCTACCTTTGAACCAGGAAAAGAACATCCATTTCTCTGCCCCGTAAACAGATCCTAGACGCTGTGAACTTTGGGTTTTGTGGGGTGCTGAGCCATCCCTCTGTGGCTGCCTGAGTTGGTCCCATACAGGCGTCCCTTCCCTGAAGGCTGATCCGGCCCTGCCCACGGCACGCGTGGGAGCAGCTCCTGCCCAGGCCAATGGCCGGAAACGCCACAGTGGCTCCTCTGGCTGGAGGAGGATGACACCTGGGCCTCAGTGCAGTTTGTAGGAAAGGAAGGATGCCACGGGGTCAGATCGCATGTGGGGGAGATTTGGTACAGAAACTAACACAGGAATTAAGGTGGCAGAAACGTCACGTAAGGTGAGGCATGTGTCTCCTGGCCTCTCATCTATCTCAGGTCTGAACTTCGCATAGCATGAGGCTGCAGTGCTGAGACTCAGCCCCTCCCCGGGGGGCCCACAGCCTACGCCACTCACTCTGCACGTGGCATTCTTGGTTTCTGCATCTTTGAGCAGAATGCTAGACACATTGGTTTACCCTCTGCTCAATATCCCTTTAACAAATCACCATGCAAAACATTCCAGCCGGGTACAGCTCCCCCGACACCGGGACCCCATACCGGGTCCTCCACTCCCTTCCCTCTGCCGGGTTTGATTTGACCAACATCCAGAGTTCACTTCAGAAAGGGCAGGGTGAGAGGAAGGATAGCATGGGGGTCCCTGGCCTGCGCCAGCCCTGGGGCAGACGCCAGAGGGTCCAGCCCCCCCTGGGAAATCCTGCTTGCCCTGCCCCAGCACCCATTCTGAGCCACAGCCAGACTCTGGGAGGGCCGTGCTCAGGGTTTTCCAGCCCCTGGACCTCAGGAGTGAGCCCTCCAAAAGTTGGTGGCAAGGGCTCACTAGCAGCTGAAGGCTGTTGGCATTAGATAGAGCAGTCCCAGGGAAAAGGCTGCTTGAAGCAATATGGGAAACCCCAGACTGGTCTTTCTGCAAAAGCTGAGTCACACCAGCCTCCCAGAGCTTCTGCGGGGCCACACTCGCCCCAGCACCGGGGCTGGGGAATCCCTGGGGTCTACTTGCTGCTCCGCTCGGTGGGTGGGACTGGTCTTCACCATGGCCGTGAACATGATTTGCACCCCTCTCCACCCCACCCTGCCCGGCTCTGGTCCTGGATCTTGCCATCTCTCCCTTCTCCTCCAGCAAGACTCCTGCCCTCACAACCCACCGGCCCTTTAAGTCCCAGCGCCTGGGAAAGGCACCTCCTGGGCAGGGAGCCACACAGCCAGGCACCACCAGCCAGGCCCTGCTCTAGGCTGTCAGGGCACAGAGCTGAGTCTAGGCAGAGAGGGGAGCTCTGTGGTCGGTGCTAACTTGGCCAGGAGCCACCAGCCCCTGCGCTGTGGCCCTTTGATGTTGGCTGAGAGCCCTGGGCCATCCCTGCAGCCCCAGTTCCTGGGGTACTAACTGCAGGGAGGGCTCTGTGCCCCTGGCCTCCCTGCCACGCGATGGTGTGCGTTCACTCTGCTTTTCCACCCCAGGTCTCAGGCAGGCATTGTCGCTTTCTGTCCCAGAGATGAGGGGAATAGGGTGGCCAGGAAGAAGGAAATCCTTCACTCCAGCAATCAGATTCCCACCAGTACTGGGGCGGGCTCCAGTTCAGGGACCAGGAGGCACCATGGAGCCCATGGGCTTGTTCCCAGGGGAGCAGAGGCCTTGTGCAGACCTCGCCTCCTGCGGTGTGGGGGGATGAGATGCCTGGAGGGGCAGGAGGGAGAAATGGCCCACTTGGTAACAGACATTACCGCGTGTCAGCCCTGGCCAGCAGGGTACAGACCAGCTCTGCCCCTGCCTCCCCAGCCCTGTCCTCAGGCCAGGAGGACACTGGCCCCTCCACCCCTCATTCCTTCTGCTTCCGAGAGCACCTGAGCTTCAGTGAGAGCACAGCGGCCCGGCCGGGGAATGAGCGGCACCTGGAGCGAGCCCACCATCACGAAGAGCGTGGGAGTGTCCGGGGCGGATGGTCGGAGTAGGGGCTTCAGGGCAGGGGGAGGCGGTGGGGGCAGCTGGCGGGGAGGGGTGAAGTTCCAAGGGTGCACTGAGAAGGGGGCTGGGGTGGAAGGGGAAAAGGGCAGTGTGTGGCAGCCCCTCTGCTCTTATCTTTCTCCCCATGCCCCTTGGGAGCCGCCATCCAGCCCCTGGCCTGAAGCACCCACAGGGAGTCCATCCACCCCACTCCCAGCAAATGGAGCTGCTAGGGGCCTCCGACCGCACTGCCGGCTAATCACAAGCCACGCTTCCTGAGCGCGTGCTGGGTGCCTAAGACCTCGCGTTTCATGTATTCACAGCCCGCCTCTGAGGAATGTACTATCATCTCCTTAATGACAGGACATCGGGGCCCAAGAAACTTGCTCTGGGGCCTCAGGAGAGGGGGAGCTGGCGGCCAGCTTTTCTGGGGGCAGCCCTGGCCAGTTACAGCCATGAAGCTCGTCAGGAATAGAGCTGAGAAAACAAACTCTGAAGGCTGAGCTCTTAACCACCAAGCTAGAGGCCTCCTGCGGTCCTGTTGACCTCCACCTGGGAGGCCGCCCAGACCCCCGTGCCCATGCTCCCTCTGCCCTCCAGATGCACAAATGCTTGTGGTCAAAACCACGCCCTGCTCTTCAGTGCACTAGTGTCCCTTGTAGAGTTCTCTGTCCTGACTTCTGCCCCGTCACTTGGGAGTGAGTTCTGTGCACTGTCTCTCTGTCTTCACCCAGGGATGTGAAGGGCTGATGACTGCAGAGACGCTGGATGGGACAGCATCAGTCTCGGCACTCTTGGGAGGAGACCCTCAGAGGAAAGCCGGGACCCTGTCAGACTGAGCTAGCAATACACCAGGACCGGAGCTCCCAGTCTGTTACTGCAGCGTGCCTGCAGAAAGAGTCTGCCATCAAGACGATGGTGGACGTCTTCTTTCTCCAGGTGCTGCTGCTACTGCTTTTGGAGCCGTAGGAACGCTGCAATCTCCTTCCACAGACAATGTGCTCTCCAGGTGCGTGGAGTGCCTCAGCCAACAGGCTCGGGCTGCAGCCACAGAGGCCACGTGCTCCAGGCACTGAGCCAGCGGTATGGGGGTCTGTCCCTTGCTCCTGTAACAGCATCCTCGGCCCTGAGCGGCTGTTGGTGTGGCAGCAGGGCCCTATCAGATCTGCTTCACAGCTGACCAGTTCTCCTTCCCTCTCTCCCCTCCCAGGGGTCCGATCCCCACTGTGACCTGAAGGCTGTCCCTGTCCAATCCCGCCCCTTCCTCTTGGGTATCACCTCCCACCCAGCTTTCTCTCAGCGTCTGCTTGCCTGAGGATGGAAACTGACACTCTGCCCTGTGCTGAGTAATACCAAGAGGAAACCCAGAGGACTTTTCTTTTTTGTTTGTTTGTTTTCATTTTAGAAACAGGGCCTCACTCTGTTGCCCAGGCTGGAGTGCACTGACAGGATTACAACTCAGCACAGCCTCAACCTCCCGAGGTCAAGTCATGCTCCCACCTCAGCCTCCTGAGGAGCTGGGACCACAGGCACACATCACCATGCCTGGCTAATTTTTTTTATCTTTTTAATTTTTTGTAGAGATTAACATCTCACTGAGTTGCCCAGGCTGGTCTTGAACTCCCGGTGGCCCAGTCTGGTCTTGAACTCCCAAAGGACTTTTGAACAAAAATGCTCAAACTCATTGTTCACCATGGAAATGCAAAACCAAAATAACACCGAGGTATCGTTTTATACTATTAGACTGGCAAAGCTTTGGAGGCTAGATCCTGCCCGGTGTTGGCGGGGATGCAGCAGGGTGGCCAGCAAGCCCTGCTGTGGGATTAAAGTGTACCGCCGGGAAGACCTCACCACAGGCCCAGCTTAGACAGGAGCTCTGTCCCTACGGTTCGGTCCCCAGATCTCTCTCTAAGGAAACCCTCATTTAGGCTCAGAGCACCGTGTTTGAGGATATGAATGAGAGTGGTTTGTCATGGCGACAAGTTGGAGGTCACTGGGATTCCATATTTTGGGAAGCAGGTGGGCGAAATGCGGGGCCGCCCACAGTGGGGACCCCAGGGCACCGGAGCCACAGGTGCAGCAACGTGGGGCGACCCAGGATGGAGCTGGGTGGAGAAAACGTGCCAGCTCACATCTCAGTTAAAACACGCACATGACAACAGCACACTCGCCCGAGACTGCACAGGAGCCAGTCCGTGGCTTGGAGGGAGCCAGCAGTGCGGTCTCATTCGCCTTCCGCAGTCCAGCTTCCAGCCCTGCGCTGTCCTCACACGAGAGTCCCTCAGGTGTGCGGCAACCTCGACTCTGCACACCCCGCCTTGGACACCTACAGCGCAAACAGGGACCCTCCTAGAGCTGTCCCCAAGCCCCTCCCCTGGCCTGTGTGCGGGCGTCTGAGCGGGTGGAGGCCAGCCCCAGGCTCTGCTTCCCTGTGAACCGGGGTCTGGGCCGAGTCTGACCTGGAGGCCCGGGGCCTGGGCCTGGGCCAGAGCCGGAGAGGTCACATCATTCCAGGAGTTCGGAAGGACCCAACACAGCTCCCCTGAAGCTGGCTGTGACCTGGGCCTGTCAGAAGCAGCCTGAGAGGAGGGTCGCAAGTGACCCAGACCTGGGAAGGAGGGAAAGGTTTGAATTTTGCAAAACAAAACAAAACAAAACAAAACAAAAAAAACAAAAAACCTTTGCCCTTTTCCCTTGACCATGGGGGGACAAGATGGGCGTGAGGCCTCCCGACCATGAGAGGAAGGCCACCTGGCGAAGCTGCAGTCTCAGCATTATCTGTATGTTAAATTGATGTTTTAAATCCGAGTTGCATATCCAGGTAATTGAAGAATAAATAACAAGCACAGGGGGCTGGTGATGGGCTGGGCCAGATTCTCTGCAACCCCCTTTCCAAACCTCTGGTTCCGTGAGGACCAAAAATGACCACCCCAGACTATTCCAGAAACAGCCTGGGGATTCTGAACGTTTCCCAGAACACAGGCAGTGAAAGGGAGAGAAGCTCAGCCCTTCCGGTGGGGCCGGGTGGCTCAGAGCAGGAGGCGATGCAGATCCGGGGGCGCCACAGCCGAGTACCACAGACTGGAGGCTTGCACAGGAGAAGCGGGTTTCCTCACAATTCTGAGCCAAAAGGCAGAGCTACATGCGCAGGCAGGGCTGGGTTCCCCGGACGCCTCTCTCCCTGGCTTGGAGACAATGTGTTGTTCTCCCCGGGCCCTTTCCTGTGCGGGTGCCCATGCCTCCATCAGGACACCAGTCAGATAGGAGCAGGGCCATCCAGTGACCTCACTTAACCTTAATCACCTCCGGAAAGTCCCTATCTCCAAGCACAGTCACGTTCTGAGGTCCTGGGGATCAGGGCTTCAACTTACGAATTTTGAGAGCACTCAAGTCAGCCCATAACAGTGGACTTTGAAATAATCTTTTAGGAACTGGACTCCCCGAGAATGCTTTAGAAAATGCCAGCCTCGTTCTGTTGCAAAGGGGGAACTGAGGAAGAGGGGGCTGAGTTTTCACAGGGGGAGGAGCCCAGTGGCAGGAAGTGACAGTGAGAAACTGCAGCAAAAAGCAGAACCAAAGGCCAAAGGTGACTATGTGGTCGCCAGTTCGCCTTCCCCGTCAAACCTTGCTGGGTTTGGTGTTTCATTTTCATTTTCAAAAACATCATTCAGGCCAAATGCAGTGGTTCATGCCTATAATCCCAGCACTTTGGGAGGCTGAGGTGGGAAGATTGCTTGAGCCCAGGAGTTGAAGACCAGCCTGGGCAACACAGCAAGACCCTGTCTCAAAAAAAAAAAAAAAAAAAAAAAAAAGGCCAGGTGCAAGTGGCCTATTACCTGTAGTCCAGCCTCGGGAGGGCGAGGTCAGGCAGATCACCTGAGGTCAGGAGTTCAAGACCAGCCTGGCCAACATGGTGAAACCCCATCTCTACTAAAACTACAAAAATTAGCCAGTCATGTTGGTGGGTGCCTGTAATCTCTGCTATTCGGGAGGCTGAGACTGGAGAATCACCTGAACCCGGGAGGCGGAGGTTGCAGTGAGCAGAAATCGTGCCATTGCACTCCAGCATGGGCAACAGAGCTAGACTCCGTCTTAAAAAAAAAAAAAAAACCCAGGCGTGGTTGTGCACGCCTGTAGTCCCAGATACTTGGGAGGCTGAGGCAGGAGGATCACTCAAGCCTGGGAGGTCAAGGCTGCAGTGAGCTGTGATTGCACCACTGCACTCCAGTATGGGTGACAGAGCTAGATCCTGTTTTAAAAAAATAAAGTCATCATTCTCTCATGTGTGTGTATGTTGTTTCATTTGTTAATTAAGGTATAATTTTACATACAGTAAAACTCACCATTCTTACTGCAGAGTTCTCACAAAAGTGTACAATAGTGTGGCATCCACCACAATCCCTACATAGAAGAATCCCATCATCCCCGGAATTTCCCTGGGCCCTTCCATAGCCCCCCAGTCCCTCACCCCCTGAACTGTTTTCTGACACCCCGCCACCCTTTCTTTTTGAAGTGGTTGTTTTGCAGGAAACATCACCTTCTCTCATTTTACAAATACTGCAGATAGATTTTGAAGCCCAAAGCATCATAGAGGCAGCAAATCAGGACAGGAAGGATTGAGGTGGGGGGACTCTACCCTGACTGTAAGAAGCACTTGAGAGACCTGCAAAAAGCGAACAGGAGAGGCAGAGACTGGGAGCGCCAGTTGGTACAGGTCCTGCCCTGCATGACAGGGCCAGTGGCCCCCACAGTGATTAGGATAAAATCCAACTGCTCACCCAGGCTGCTGGAGCCTCCCTGCCTTCAGGCCGCCCCACTGGCCCCTTGCCCACTGTGCCCCACTGTCCAAGCGCTCGCCTGCCCTGGGAGGGACCCCGGCAGCTTCCTGTGCCCAGGTGCACGTACCTCTCTTTTCCCATCTGGGCGCCTGCTGACTTTGCACCATGAATTTGAACACCACCCTGCAGATGACCTGGCCTCAGCCCATGAAGTTTCCCTTTCGTCCTCTGCAGGGCACCAGCCCCTAACGCCGTCTGACCGTTTCCCTGCTCACAGGATCTTCCATTTGCTTAACCCCGGAAGTGCGAAGCCTGAGTGAAGAGCGTGCAGGAAACAAGCCCCTGTCCTCGTGAAGGCTACATTCCGAGAGGGGAGGCAGGCAACAGGCACACAAACGACCCCATAGTATGTCATGCTGCGATGCCGGCTGTGGAGGAAAATGAAGTGAGGCCCGGGGAAAGCCAGAGGCCATAGGGCTGCCGAGGAGGAGCAGGGACGGGGCAGAATTTGCTTAGAGCAGGGCAGGTCACGTCGGACTCTGCGGGCCACTGAAAGGAACTTGGCTTTTATTGGGAGGATGTTAAAGGGTGAGTGACATCCTCTGACCTTTTATAAAAGAAGCAAGAGTCTAGACAGCCCAGGTAGAAGTGAGGGCAGCAGGTGGAGGCCCCACAGCAGGCTCAGGGAGTGAGCCCACGCCAGGGCGTGGAGCAACTGGAGGCTCCAACAGGGCTGGTGGGAGTGCCGAACGGTGTGCATCACCTTGGAAAGCAGGCAGTTTCTAATACCATGAAGCTCGTCCAGCCCTATGTTTCGCAGTTCCAGTCCTAGGTATCACACTCAAGAGAAGTGAAGACGCCCACAAAAGGCTCTGCAGCAGCGCTGTCCGTGAAAGCTGCATCTGGGGATGCATGAATTGGCCTGTCATTCCAGCATTTTGGGAGGCCGGGGCAGGAGCATCGCTGGAGCCCGGAGTTCGAGACCAACCTGACGCCTCCAGAGGTGGAGACACCTCCCCCCTACCCCCACCTCCACCTCTACAAAAAACTGAAAAAGAAATTAGCTGGGTGTCGTGGTATGCGCCTGCAGTCTCAGCATTATCTATATGTTAAACTTCTGTTTTTAATCAGAGTTGCATATCCAAATAATTAAAGAATAACAAGCACAGAGACTAGTGAGGGGCTGGGCCAGATTCTCTACAACCCACATGGCTTCACCCATTTTCCAAATCCCTGGTTTCGTGAGGACCGAGAATGACCATCCCATACTATTCCAGAAACAGCCTGGGGATTCTGAATGTTTCCCGGAGAGTCATTAGGAATTATCCCAGCGGCGCTGGAGTTAAGTGGCTAACTTAAAGTTGGACGACACTGGCTGGAACAGTCGCGTAAGCGGTAAGGGTGGAAACTCCGGTACTCACTGCGCTGCCGGCTCCCCGCCCCTCTCCACCGCCCCGCGCGGGCGCGGGCTCCCCGTGTCCCCGCAAGCCGCCGGGGGCGGGCCGGGGCGGGCAGGGGCGGGCCCGGGCGTGGGGGGCCGAAGGAGGAAGCGCGCGGGGCGCCATAAGGAGGAAGCGGGTGTTCGGCGGTGTCCGCGCGCCTGGGAGACGCTGCCTCGGCCCGGACGCGCCCGCGCCCCCGCGGCTGGAGAGTGGTGAGTGCCCCCGCGCCCCTCCCGGGGTACGCGCCGAGCCCCAGCCCGGGACCCCTGCCTGCCCGCCTGCCCCGGCGTGGAGCTCAGGGCCCGCCGCCCGCCCTGGGCCCGACCGCGGTGGGAGCCGGAGGAGGGGAAGAGGGGAGGAGGGGGTCAGAGCCTGGCCTCAGCACCGACCCGCCGGCAGCGCCTCGCCCGCCTCCCCTCCGCCCGGGCGCCCTCCTCGGCTCGGCCTGCAGTGCTGAGGGTCGGGTCCGCCTCGGAGGCGGAGAAGGCTTTGTTGTGTCCTCTCCACGTGGCCTGGGGACTCAGGGGAGGGGTACGGGGCGCGGGGAGGGTGGGGGAGGGGCCGAGGCCAGCCCCAGAGAGGAGAAAACCCGCGGGCCTGGCCGGGCGCAAGCCGCCCTTCCCGGCGGATCGGAACCGCCGCCCACACCGTGGTCTTTCCAGCACCGCAGACACCTGCCGGCTCCTCCCGAGCGGAGCTCAGGGCTGACCAAGCGCGGTCAGAGTGGCCGCCCACGGGGACTCGCCCGCGCCTTAGAGCGCTGGCAATGATGTGCGGATCCTCGCTGCTGCTGCTGCTGCTGCTGGGACGCTGCGGAGTGGCTGAATGACCTCAGGGGACCCTGGGAGAGCCCTGAAGCCCTCAGCCACCAAGTGGCTGGGCTGGCAAGGGTTCATTCATTCATTCAACAAATACGAATGTGCAGCTTGTGCTGGGGTCATGATGGCTCTGGTGGGCAGCGAGGGGCCGGCCGGAGGAGCACAGTGCGGGCTCTGTAAGTGGGCTGAGGGCTGGGCCTTCTGGGGCTGGACCGGCCTTCCCCTGCAGGCGGGGTTGAGGCAGGTGAGGAGCAGATGGACCCGCCCGGAGCTCTTCCACCTTCCCGTGCTTACACCCCCTTCCTGGAACCTTATCCACACCCCTCAGTCCTCGCTCTTACTGTGGGGGAGCTGCAGAGGATGTGGTTCTTCCACATTCCATTTCCACCCGCGCTGGGCAGGCTCTGAGATGGGGAGAGCTCTCCTGGGCCTGAATGTGTGCCGTCCTGGGGCCCTGCAGTCCCTTGGGAGTGATGACTGAAACCAGATTCCCTGAGCTGGGGTCTTAAGGGCTTGGGGAGCGCAGAGGGATCCTCTGGCATCAGGAGTTGAGGTAGACAGCTCCAGGGAGGCACTGCTGGGAGGAGGACCCTGGCCAAGCCTCTGCCTGCGGCCCGGAGTGTGTGTCCCTGCCCCTTCTGCCCCTCTTGCCCGGGGAGGGAAGAGGAAACCAGAGGTCAGCAGTTCGTGGCTGGGGTTTAAAAGCAGGGATCTCCCAGGACGGGCACAGGGAACATGAGGAAGCAGCTAGTGTCTCTGTTCGTGAGATGTGAGAGTGGCGACTGGGGTGAGGGGTGCAGAGACCTGCCGTGGCTGGGGTGAGGTGCTGTTGGTGCTTCTGGGGAGGTTGGGCAGGATAGACGGTGGCTATCAGGTGGTCTCAGGGTTGTGCAGGAACTTGCCGGAGAGGGAAGCGGGGCGTGTCCCCAGGATGGTACTGGGCAGGGCCGGGGGGGGGGTCCTAGGGGGAGGGTGCCTGAGTGGGAAGAGGTGTCGCATGCCCAGCTCAGAGGCCTTGCCTAGGGGTGCGCACAGGCTCAGCTGACGTGAGGATGTTGATGGAAGGACTGAGGGTCCCACTCATTTGCAAGTGAGAATTGCCTGCCCAGCAGCCCCAGCAGTGCATGGGCCCCTGGACTGACAAGGATGGATGAGGGTGATGGAGGCGGATGGACATTTGATGCCGGAGCCTGCCTTCCAGGCAGAAGGGCCGTGAGTCATCCTCTCTCCAGTGCCAAGTGGAGAGGCTGCGTTATTCGTTTTCAGGGCTGAGCAGGTCCTCGACGTGACCGAGGACTGTGCACGTTGTTTGAGGCGACCCGGAGCACTGGCTCTGTCAGCCCATGAGAGACCTCCCTCTAGAGCTGTGGCCTCTGGAAATGCCTCCTGTGGTTGACATCTGGTCACCACTTGCTGACTGGGGTGTGGAGGGCAGCGCAGGCCTAGAGTGTCCCCGAGAGCAGCTGGGCGTCTGCCCCTGCCCACCCCACAGGGCCTCCCACTCACAGGGTCTAATTAGCAGCTCCATGGCTGCCATACCTTGCAGACCGCTCTCAGCGGCCACATGTGTCCTTGCCCCAAGCCAATGACAGGTCTGAAGAAGACACTGATGGAGCTGAAGTGCAGGACAGAGACAAGCACCAGTGTGCTGGACGCTCATGGAGCACTTGATGTGTGCTGACTGGCTCATTTGGACGTCACGGTGGTCAGACTAGGGTAGTATCCCCATTCTCCAGATGGTGAAACTGAGGCAAGGCGAGGCTAAGTAACTTGTCCGAGGTCACAACCGAGGGAGTCGGACTCCAGGGTTTCGGCTCCGAGCATCATGCACGCTGCCCAGACTTCCCCTCCACATGTCACACCTATTAGGCCATTGGGGGTGCGGAGCCTTTCTGTAGCCTCGCTCCCCTCTGAGCCTCTGGGAGGGAGCCCAGGTTCCAAGGCAGCGAGTGATGTGTGCGGGAGAAGGGAAGCTTCCGGGGCAGGGGTTCAGAACCCTCCCAGTGGGGTTTTCCCCAAGAGCCACTGCTGGCAGGTTCCTACACGCCCATCCAGCCCCAGCACAGCCTGCCTCTTTTCCTTCTCTTCCTCCTTTTCTCTTTCTGCCTGCGTTGGTCCAAAATGGGGAAGTTTCACATAAAAGGCAAACGGGCCACAAAGCAGCTATTTCTAGAGGTGCTGCTGCCTTGCAGATTGAATTCTTGGTTGGCTTTTTAGGTGTTTGTTTTCGGGGTCCTTTTCTGTAGAAGAAGCTATCAACGGCCAGGCACAGTGGCTCACGCCTGTAATCCCAGCACGTTGGGAAGCTGAGGTGGTGGATTACCTGAGGTTAGGAGTTCGAGACCAGCCTGGGCCACATGGTATAACCCTCTCTCTATTTAAAAAAAAAACAAAAAAAAACAAAAAAAAACACACACACACACAAAATTAAAAAAAAAAAAAAAGAAGAAGAAGAAGCTATCAACTAAGAAAAGGAGGAAGTGGCTTTGGGAGGCTGAGACGGGAGGCTTGCTTGAGTCTGGGAGGTCGAGGCTGTAGTCAGCTGTGATTGCACCCCTGCACTCCTTGAATCCTATCAGCTTGGCCAGGGCAGGGGTGGGAAGTGGGGTTTTAAAGGGGAAAGACCACCATCTGGATCACAGACCAGACCTGAAAGGAGGCTGGTCACTTTTAGGCACGTAGAGTAACTGGTAAGACACGCTGTCCTAGTGGAAGCCATGGGTGGCCTCTGTGGCTGCTGTGGCCCCCGGGGAGGAGGAGATACCTGTCTTCTGGGGCTGGGGCTCAGTCTGGCTCCGGGTCCGGGTCACCAGGGAGCTTTCCGCAGAGCATCCTGCCTGGGCTTTGCCTGGTCTGCATGGGACCCCCAGCCTGTGGCTCAACCCGCTTCTGTGCTCACAGCCATGCTGGCGCTGGGGGCAGTCCTTGGCTTCCCTCCTCATTGGCTTAACAAACCCCCTTTCTTTAGAGGAAGGAAAGTGTGTGCTGTGGCCTGGTGGAACAGGCTGGGCTTGGGGGTTCCGAATGCCCTGTGTGCTTGGGGACAGCTGCTGAACCTCCTCACCGCTGTCATGGCCCTTGGCCAAGAGCTTTCATCCGAGGCGGGCAGTAGTTGCTCTATTTCTGTTATGGGGTACCTCTGCATCTGTGTTTGGTTTAATTTGTGTAACTGAATGTCTCATTTTATTTCTCACATTCATTCTGTGAAATTCCCCTGTATCTGGATGAGTGTTCAGGTGACTACAGCCCTGGGTCCGGGATGGGCGGTGTTCCAGGAGCTCCTGCTTGGGCCTCTCCCATCCTCCCCCAAAACCAAAGAGAAGGGAAAACCCTCTGTGAGTGGATGTCACATGTCAGGTGCTTTTTCTGACACTGCATGTGATCGCACAAGGCAGGGAGTGTCCCCTTTTACAGATGGGGAAGGTGAGATCACATTGCAGGTTCAAAGTCTGACATGACCCGTCCATCTTTACAGCTTCCTTCTCTGGGCTGGGAGTGCCTGAGGGCTTCTTAAAATGCAGATGGACTTGGGGGACTGAGCTTCTCTGGGGTTCCAGTGTTTTTCTAGGGAGAGCCATCTGGGGTCAGGGCCGGGGTGGGGACAGCAGGAGAACAGGACAGGAGTGGCGACCCAGGGCCAGGGAAGGGAGTAGGCAGGGGCAGCATATGGGGGTGGAAAGAAAGGGGCCACTGGCACGAAGGCCCCTGGGAGGCAGCAGCATGTCCCTCCTGGGGGTAAGTCCAGGAGAGTGGCCATCCCTGAGGAGCTCTGGTCCTGTGACAGTGAGGCTGGGCCTGAGAGCACCAGAGGCCAGCGGGCAAGTGTACCATCCCCCCAGCCCGGTGGGGCACCACGTGACCAGGCCTCGCGTGAGGACTGGGAGTGGCTTCTGCACTGGCTGGCATCTCCCTAGAGACAGGAAGGTGGGGTGCCTCCTGGGTTCAGCTGGGAACTCTGAGCTTTGGGTGCTGGAGGTCACTGTGCTTGGGCTGGCTGCTGCCTGGGCCCAGCTGCCTCTGTGTGTGGAGTCAGTAGAGGGACCACAGCCAGGCCGGGCACTGTCCTGGCCCCGGAACCGAGGCAGGCGTGCTATGAGAAGATAACATTGCCTTGACAACTGTCCCCAGGATCCTTTCAGCAGGCACTTCCTTGCTGTGCCCTGGAAAGGTGGGGTGGCACTCTGGATGACAGCACAGCCTCAGGGTGCTTCTCTGTGGCCCACACGCCCTTCCGGCGCGATGGCCACCTCCGTTCCTGTTTCCCCAAGCCCCACTTCCCCTGAAATCCAGGCAGGGAGAGATGGGGCCTGGCTGTGAGAACCCTGGCCCCAGGTGTCACCATTTCCCCAGAAGCCTTGTTTCTCCCTCTGAGTATCCCTGAGGACCCCTGCAGACATCCAGCCCCAAACCCGGCTGGCTGAGCAGGGAGCCCAGCTGGGGGCCTTGGTGGAAGGGTCGCCCGTGTACTCACACCGGCAGCCAGCCGCTCCTGGGTCATCAGCCCCTCCCTCCGCAGGAGAGGCGAGGCGTTTCTGCCAGGGGCCGGGTGGCATTTCTGCCAGGCAGGAGCACGGCGTTGGCGCGGCACAGGCCCTGCTGTGCTCTGTGAGGGCTCTGCCCTGACTTGGACTCTGTCTGGGACGTGGTGACAGGCTTGTTATTTATTTATTTATTTTTGAGACAAGT